AGTACAACCAGAAATTATTGAGAATTTAAGATTGTAATCTTTTATATTTTTTTCACTCATTACTCACATATTAATGTGAATATTAGCAGAACATAACTCCAGATTCAAAGACAGGTGAACAGTTAGTATTTTGTCAAGTCATCATGGGCAGCAATGCAGGCTTCAATGTGGCGGGGCATACTACTGATCAAATAAGTTAGAAAGTCGTGGTCCATGCTGTCTCAATATCGGACCACCTCTTCTTTCATTTCAACAATATTTGTCAGATTTTTCTTATTGACACTTTCCTTCATAAGTCCCCAAACATTTTTTCTATTGGATTTAGGTCAGGGCTATAAGCTTGGCCAATCTAATAATGTCATATTTTTGGGTCGAAACCAGGCCTGTGAATGCTTTGAACGATGTTTTGGGTCGTTGTCCTGCTGGAAAATCCAAACATTTCCATGGAACACGTGAGCAGATGGAAGTAAATGTCCCTCGAGAATATCTGTGTACAGCTCACTGTTCATATTCCCTTCAAATACACAGAGGGGCGTTGCCCCTAACACAGATATGCCACCCCACACGTTAAAGTTCGGACTGTACTTTGGGTACGCTGATACAAAGGTTTTTCAGTTTGTTTGGTCCAGAATTTCAGTGTATTAGGAAACAGCCTCACAGAACTTTCATCTGAGAAAATCACATTGTCCCAGTTAAAATTTCTATGCTGTAAGCACCAGTTCAACCTTCGCTCCTTTTGTTCAGGTTTCATGATCGGTGATGGAATTCCTCGACTTTTCTGCCAACCCATTGCATGCAGCTCAGTTCTAATTGTTTCCTTACAGACAGCCAAAGTTCCTCTATCAATCATATCCAGCTTTAAGTTTTCTAAACTCCTTCGTTTGTTTTTAGAAACAAGAATACCAAGCCGCCTCCTGTCACCGACAGTCAATTTTCTGGGCCTACCTGCGCCTCCCTGGTGCTCAGTGCCATATCCATTTGCAATATTTTTCAAAACACGATAAACAGTGGACAAAGGGATGTCTGTTCTACTTGAAATCACTTTAGCTGATCTGATGTCCTTGTTATAATCCTCTAAAATCAACTTTCTCTACTCTAAATCATCCATACCGAGGATCACTGAAAATGTCGTCTGCTAGCAAGTAAACAAAGGGGGATAACCTTTCACAAATTAATGAAAAAGGATTAACGGAGTTGTCTCTCTTGAATGAAACCAAACACTTGATAGCTGGTCAAAATTGAAATCCAATTAAACATATTCCTAAAATTCTCAATAATTTCTGGTCATACTATATCTTTGAGAATGTCTTTCCTCAGGGAAAGAAGGACAGCTTCTATTCGCCTTAGAAACATTGGAATAAAATCCGTCAATGTCTTCATGCTGGAACCACAAAGATGCTTGTCCACAGCTACGTTCTGTCAGGATAAGCTATTGTAACGCTTTCTTACGATGACCCATTTGCAGCGTAGGCAGATCACTGCGGCTCGTATCATTACAAGAACTAAATCCACAGAACACATCACACCAGGACTACCGAGTCTCTACTGGTTGCTTGTCAAACAATGGCTAAAGTTCAAGCTGCTCAACATCACCTTCAACCCCATTCACCATCCCCAATACTCACCGTATCTTCGCATGCATTTTTCATATCACAAGTCAAGTCACAACCTACGTTTTGTCGATCAAATGTATTTAACTGCACCAGACCCCAAAACAAAATTAGGTGAAAGATCTTTTTCTGTCGTTTTGCCGGGTGCGGTGGGATATCCCAGTGATTAAAGCGTTCGCTCGTCACGCCGAAGACCCGGGTTCGATTCCCCACATGGGTAGAATATGTGAAGTCCGGAACTGAAACCTTAGAAACTGGAGGCGAGTCTGGTTCGGTGGAGAAAGTGTCTTGGTGTGGGGTAAGATATCCAGCACACAAAGATCTGATTAAAGATCTGATTTAGCGGTGGTTGAGGGGAATTTGACAGCAAATAGGTACATCAACGAAGTCCTTGCACGTCACATGTTCCAATTATGGGCCGACAGCGGGAGATGTTCCATCATATTGCTACTTCGCATACAGCACGCGTCACGGTGCGCTACCTTGCCAATATTCTAACGTCAATGTCTTGCCATGACCTTTCCGATCACCAGATCTAAACCCGATAGAACACCTGTGACATGAACTCGATCGACGTGTACATCAACGTTAAAACACGGCTCAGAGGCTCGAGACACTTCGACATTTGGCAATCGCATTGCAGGAAGAGGGAAGAATTCCGCAAAGAGCGACTTTGTCGACTTATCCGAGCAGTAATTGCTGCCAATGGTAGCCATATACAAAGTATTGACTTTGACGCCATCTTATGGACTCAACTCACTCAAGTAAACAGAAACACAACAATAAAGGCTGCTGTTGTGTTGGCGATCTTTGTCTCTATAGGCGTGAATTTTCAACCTATTACCACTGAAACTACATGAAATAATTGCTCTTAAACTAACGCTATAACTTCTTCTAAAATGGCAAATGCGTTTCTTATTTTTGAAGAGTGTATATCTGAAACTGCTACGATGTAGCATTGGATATAAAAAAACTATATCTGGTGTATCTGTAGAATTAAAAGACGGCACACGTAGATTGGAATGTATGGTATATGCACTGCACATGATCTGTCTCTATTGCCAATTACAATGTGTACAGCACATCATGTGTTGAGTGAGTGAGTGAGTGAGTGAATGACTATACACAGATAAAGAATATATATAACCAACAGTTACTGTTACGCTGTCTCCGCCACTCCCCTTCTATATATGTATAATAATTATCGTTTTGGGGATGTTATATAAAAAAAATTCTATTGTTTTTTTTCGAAACAAGACAGTCAATTTGATAAGCTAAAAGCTAAAGCATTCCTAGATAGTAATGAACACCGCTCCTGTTATTTAAACTATCGAAAGGGATTTTATTATCACATTATTAAATTCATATCCCATGCAGGTAGGCGGCAACATTAATCATGAATATGACTAGATGTTGAGTATGGTGTACAACACGGGCTGCCATTAATATACCTTATATCCTGTAGGGCTGATCAAACGCAGAGATATCTCTACAGGCGGTATACATATCAGTTATTCAGGCTTCTATGAATGAGTATGTATGATTTTAAGCTGCTTTTAGCAATGTTCCAGTAATATCACGACGGGGGACACCAGAAATAGGCTTCACACATTGTACCCATGTGGGGAATCGAACCGGGGTCGAGCAAACGCTTAGATGACTAGGCTACACCACCGCGCCTAGACATCTTGGAGTAGGGTTCAGATGCACTGAGGTTCTGTGTGCGCGCTGCTTCATTTATTGGGGTATCACACATGTTACGTGTACACAGGTGACCTATTCTGTTGGGTTGACAGCCACGAAAATCCGCATTGCTGGTGTGTGGTGTGTGGTGTGTGGTGTGCTATAATTAGCAATTTTACTCATGCATATTGAAAATATGAAGATTTCGTTTGCAATCTTGACAGATACAGGCGAGTACGTGACCCGGGGCGTGTCAGGAGCTATTCCATGCGTTACTGAAGTCAAATTCTGCCCCCTTATGCACACGCACAACTCAGGTGCTCATCAAATTAATTGTAAAAACAACGCCTGTTCTCGAGTGCATGTGGTAATATCTTGGATTGAGAGTTAGTATGAAATAAAGTATTATCGGTACGTGACGTTGCGGTTCTGTAAAAATACACGCTGAACAGCTTCAACACAGACTGTCAGAGTTAACTCGAGGATTTCGTTGAGTTGAAATGATTTCAGCAGATGCCAACGTCCGTGTCCGAAAAACGATGCATACATATTAACATATAATTGAATCATATCCCATAGGGAGACAAACTGCTATTTTAAATTCATATAATTAACTTTCCGTAGTTGACCGTGTGAAATAAATGTGGGATACACAAGTTTACACGTTTTTAGTTGAAGGTTCAAAATGTGCTATTTACGAGGTAGGACGTACGTTTATTTACTTTCATGTACTGAATACTTTGTGTAATTTATTAAGTTACCTTGTCATTATTTTTGTCGAGACAAATTCCTAATCCACGGTTGGAGTTTACGTGCGTCTTGACCTGAAACGAACTCAGGTCGAGTGAGGTTCACATACGTCCCAGTTAGAGACACTCTGTCAGAAAACGTAATGACGCGAGATAATAGGTAACCCTCACAACTACCCTTTACTTCATAACTCGTCTTGTCGCTTGAAACTGACGATAAGTCCCGATGGCTCCAGTAAGATGAAAACCAAATTACGTATTTTTAAATCATTACTCTCTCGTGAATTGTGTACAGCTATGATTATTAAATGAAATTTTAAGTTGATAGAATCCCAGAGGTTCCTCTTTTGCCCTGTCCAAACTGACAAGTTCTATGCGAAGATAATCTGATTTTAACGGATCAAATGCGTGGATATGAAATACATGGGGTGGGGAATGGTAAAATATCAGAGGATAATAGTTATCATTAGATAACCAAAAATGGCCAATGATATTTTAAGTGTTTACGTCGCAGTACCCTTTCACGACACACAATAAATGCTTATATATTTTAATTCCAAAGTATCGACCTTCTTTTCCGAATTTCTGCTGACACATTATTTACAATACTAAACTGTACAATACAATACAGGGGACAAAAAAGAAGTTCGCTCTACTGAATATATATCCTGTTAAACTGGGCGGCCCAATCAATACATGACATACAGTCGCAATCCTTTCCGAGAGTCATGTGACGTGTGTATCTCTGTACATAGATTATAACAACTGAGCCACTATTCTGCGTCTCGAGTGACCTGACAGGTGTTGAAACGTCAACTAATATAGTGTCTACCGGACCGTGACTGATGCGAGTTTTCTACATAAATGTAACTAGTCAGTTAAGTAGTACATTTCTGCCACAGCGCAAGCATGGCGGAGTTCGGTTAGCGAGCTCCGCAAAGAGTTGATAGTATGTGTATTGCAGTTAAAAGCGGCAGCGTGTAAAGATCGGCGTGTGAAACAGTCTCGGACTTGAGCGTTATATAATCTACAATGGAAGAAGACGACCCATATGAAAGCTTGCCAGCATCATCAACTATGGTCACCCACATGGTGGCAGGGGCGGCGGCCGGAGTCATGGAACACTGTGTTATGTACCCCGTTGACTGCGTGAAGGTAAATACACGAGGGCCTACCGGGGTGACACAGGGGAGGGGCTGGGGCGGGTATCGCAGGGGCCAACTTTCGCATGTCAGGTCCCAACATCAGTGTTGATGATGTAATACCAGTTCGTGACCAACGAGTTATATAACTTAGCAAGGTGCGTGAGTGGTAAATATTGTCATAGTACAGAGTTGTGACGTAGAGCCATCAGACTCGCTGGAAATTATAAGCACATTTTCATATTCTATCAGATATTGTGTTCAATGGCGGTAGTGACAACGCAGCTGTCAAGCTACATCATCCTCATTGATGATGCTTAAAAGCAGGCATCCATTCAAAACATATGCAGGTCCCTTGGATACACACTGGGTATCATTTGGGCCCATCTGTGTCATGTCAACGTTATTAACTTACCTTCAACCAAAACATTTGGAATGTCATTTGATCAACCAGTGATCAATGTTTCCCTGCTTGATCCTGTGCATTGATAGCAACTATTTTCGATGAGACATGCATGACTAAACTGACATTTCATCTTGTAATTGAATTAATGCTGGAGCAGTGTTAAAACCAGACTCTATGAATATCGGTAGTTTGTACCGCCTCCATGGGTTAGTGGATGGAGTTTCTGCCCAGACAATGGAAGGTTGGTTCATACGAAAAGATGTAAAGAGATGGTACTTCTTCTTGTCCTGCCTGGCTCTCACCATATGGGTAACTGTGGAGGACTTGTCGGCTTGGAATCAGCATACGCAGGTCTGAATTGGGTATCCATGCTGAACCGTAAATTCAGCAATTAATAGTCCAAGCAGACTACAGTGTTTACTCTCGGCATAAAATTTAGGAGTCATCATGACCCCTGGTGTCATGAGAGAGTCATTGACATGTTTTGGAGTTGACTTCAGTTTGGAACTTTCTTCAAGACATCAACTGTGATTGTTTAATAATGACAAAAACAAGGTAAAGGCAGGTCAGGTATTTAATCAGCACTGAGCAGTCAAAAACAGTCATTGCACAGAAACTAAGTTTAGATTATCTGAACTAAGGGCCCAGTAGTATTGTGTCAACAATGACACAAACTTCTAAATTCATTGTTATATTTGAGATAGCTTTTGACTTTGAGTCAAATATGCAGGTTTCCTGCATCGTGCCAAACACTGTCAGACCACACACTGACACACACTTGCATGGAAATTAAATTGTTCTTAAACTTGATATTATGATATGTCAGAATAGCATGTTAAAAATGTCGGATGATCGTGACTTGGTGACTTGGTTCACGGCTATCATTCATTGGACAACAGATACTGTTTTCTACCAAGTGAACGCCCATGTTAAGAGCATGAACAGTAGCAGAATTAGTCAATACCTCACTCTGACCCAAATTAACCCCATTGGAACTTTGGTATAGAAAATGATCTCAGTTACCTTATTATGTGTTTCTCCAAAGAAGTCTTTAGGTTTGTTGATTGTCATGGAAACCCTGACTGGGGGGAAAGTTATTCACAGGTTGATCACTGGTTTGTCCTACCCTGACTTCATTATTTACACAAACGGCTTAAATATGGTCCTGTGACAAAATAAACATTAAAGATGGTTTACTGACTTCCAGATGTCAGATTTGGGGTCAAGTATTAATAAATTTGAAATAATAGGACTCTGGAAACAGAGTCCACATTATGCCACATCTGTAGTAACATAATGTTTGGTGATCTATTGATTGTGTTAAATTCATCCCTGCACCATCATGTGCTACCTGAAGTCACATTCTCCCCATTTTAGCAATGTCAGTAATGAGTATATTTAAGTCCATCTCTTGTAGTAACCGCCTCCGTGGTGTAGTGGTTAGAGCGTCCGCCCGGAGAGCGGAAGGTCGCGGGTTCGATCCCCGACCGCATCATACCAAAAGACGTTAAAACATGGTATTTGTTAGTCCCTGCCTGGCGCTCTGCATTAATGGGTACATAAAGGACTGGTCGGCTAGGAGTCAGTATAATGTGTCTGAGTGGGGTATTCATGTTTCACTGCGGCATGGTATCTTAGTGGGCTAGCACTATAAAACCAGCTTAAGTGTGGGCTAGTACAAGCAGCCGCACATACATTTACACACGCATGCACGTCGTCATATGAGCGAAATATTCACAAGCACAACGTTAAACCCAATTTCACCTCACCTCTCTTGTAGTAAATTTACCTGTGCTTCTAACTATAGTATCAAGGTCAAGGTCAAACATTGACAAGTCCACATGACCACTTGTAAGTAACGATTTGCATTTCAAGTTGTAGTCCACATTTCTTCTATGTATCTAAATGTGATATATGATTATGGTAATGAATGTAATGAGTGTGTGATGAGCTCCCAGGTAATACAGTTCTACCTGTTCCAGGGTTGTAATTAAAGTTTAAACTACCTGTAAATCAACTGATTGTTTGCATTCCTTACATCAACTGAATGTACTCCTTGCCTCGCGATATAATAGTAAAAATATTACAAGTCTAATAAGCTCAATTTTAAGACAAAGCAGGAAATAATTGAGTAAGAAAAAAAATGTTGACTTTAAGAGCTAACTGTAACTAATAGAGGCTTAGCAATTGTCTAATTAAAAACTATATTTCATGATATCATGTGTTGTTGTTTCATGACTTATCTGTTACAATTCCGTTGTCTTGAAATCATCCAGTTGAATAAAATAAGTGAATGCACCTTCATCATATGTTCATGCCTTATCTGTAGTCATGTGGGGTCTTACAGTCAACTTGTGGAATAAAACGTGTCAATGTACCGTCATGACTGTACATGTAATAATTCGAGGGCTCCTTTATGACTTGTAGAGTGTGTCTGAAGCACAAGAAATCAAATTCAGTGACAGAAAACAAGCACTGGCATGACATCCTTATGAGTAATGATCATAAAACAGTTTGAGGGGTGGTGAAGTAGCCTAATGGTTACGGCGTAAGCCTGTCATGCTGAAGACCTAGGTTTGATTCTCCCAATATGTACAATGTATGAAGCCCATTTTGTTCTGGTGTCCCTTGCCATGAAACTGCTGGAATATTGCTAAAATTGAAAAAACTATATTCACTTAAAGTAGTTTGGGACTGCCCTTTTTCAAAGTAATCCTAATTTTTATAAACCCAACTTTCATCTTCTTCAGATAGGCCCTTCCTCCATGTGTTCTGGAAGGAATTTGGATACTACCCTTCTAATTTTCGTGAATCTTTGTTAAACACATAAATATAGCAAACCTAGTGAATGTCCTTTTGTTGTTGTTTAACATCGAATTCAGCAATGTTCTGTCTATGTAACAGCTGTTTCTCAATATTCAAGTCCAGACAAGACAATCCAGTGATTAAGGTCATGAGCATCCATTGGCTCAGTTGGAGAATTTGGTGATTTCCGTAATGTGACATACATAATATCAGTAGGATAGGTAAGTGCGTCACATCGTTGTGCTATTGCTATTTTGTTGAGTTAGTTGATTTTCTGTTGACCCGAGACTATATCCCAAAGTTACAGTGTGGTTTCTTTGTTGACGTGATATCAAGGAACCTACCAACAACATGTACATTTATATTGATGCATAAAAGTTTAAAATTTCAACTCTGAGGTAATCTATGTATATGTATGACTTGGCTGATGACATTTCTTCATTTAGTTTTTGTTGTTTACATTTCTTCAGCCACTCCATGAATAATATTCCAGCTATATGACATCAGTCTGTAAATAATCAAATCTGGTCTAGACAATCCAGTGATTGACAGTATGAACATCGATCTACGCAGTTAGCATGTGATGATATGTGTTAACCAAGTACATTACATTTCTTCATGCCACTACTGCATGAATTACTGCGGGTAATATAAAGTTGTCTCTGGTTTATCCAAGTCACACATCCATTAAGGAAAACCATTTGACAGTCTTGGGATGAAGGGGGCTTGCTTTTTTTTAAGTGTTTTTCTGGGACAATTCTGATGTTGGTACAATCCGTGTCCCTCTATTGCCATGGTTGACTGGGGATGTTGACAGTGACACCAAATCCCCCCCTCCCTGTCTTGTTATTTTACACCATGACCACGGGAATACTGGTTTCAAACAGTTTTACACATGACCTTGCCAACCTGGCTCTACAATATATTACTGGAAACATGCCACTCACCATACATGCTTCCTGTTGAAGTGCTGTACTGAGTCAGTGTCTAGGCCAGGAATTGTGCAGCATATATAAAATGTAGGGTTAGAAACTAGATCCCGGTCTGAGTTTCATTATTTCGTTTAACTGTTGTGAGTCCTCGTTTTTGAACACTTCTGAAAAGAAGCATGTCATATCTTTAATGAATCTGATTTCTGCGGGATTAGGGGTTATTAATTGTTTTATGTAAAGTGTCTTTGTCATTTGTTGATGTTGATGGGAGAAGTGACATTCCTACACTGTAAAGATCTCAAATATACATGTTCAAAATGTAATGCAAGTGAAATGTTCTTTTGTTAGCTAAAGGATGGAATATAACATGATTTATATTTCAGTTTTGGTGTGGAAATAAAAATAAGTTTTAGAATTTTGCAACAATTTCAAACATTTTATTTGAAATAAAATAGGTTTACACCATTCCACATGTTCAGTTCCTATGGGTATAATCATAAATGAGATGGTTTACAATGTCCCTGCAAGCTGCCTCTGTGGTGTAGTGGTTAGAGCAACCGCCCGGAGAGCAGAAGGTCGCGAGTTCAGTCCCTGGCCGCGTCATACCAAAAGACGTTAAAATATGGTACTTGTTGTTCCCTGCCTTACGCTCGGCATTAATGGCTACAACAAGGACTTGTCAGCTCAGAGTCTGTATAATGTGTCTGAGTGGGGTATTCCTACTTAACTGTGACATGGTATCTCAGTGGGCTAGCACTATAAAACCAGCTTAAGTGTGGGCTAGTACAAGCAGCTGCACATACACATACAATACACATATTCTTAAGTACGACGTTAAAGCTCATGTTACCTCACTTCACAATGTCCCTGCAACTTTCAGTGTGTTCTAACTGCATGCTTTATTTTGATTGCATATGAATATAGGCTCCTAATCTGTGTTTATTCATGGAGAAATACTTTTCATCGAGATGATTGTAGCGCTAAGAGGAGCACAATAGCCACACTTCAAAATAGACTAAACACCTTTGTAACCCCACAGTTCCGCGAAATGATTGTATGAGCACAATACTCATTGTAACATAACAGAAAATAGTAGTAGTTCCACAGTCAGTTGTGGCACAGAGCCTTCCTGAGAAGTGAAATATGTACCATATGTACTGACATGTACAACTAAAACCTTTATGTACATGATACATAGTCTCCCCCAGTGTAGTTTGATATCAACTATATCAACACTAGTTGATCAACATGATAAAGTTACAATTTTGCAAGGTTTGTTTAGGAATGTTAAGTTTTCATACATAAGTGTTGATCAGTTTAATATGAAAAGACACTGAAGAATGTTGTATCAGCCAGCATCATCGTCCAGCTTTTAAAGTTTGTAAACATTCATATAACCAGTATCTTGAGTGTAATGACTCCAGCTAGCCAGCTTCAGAGGCAGAGGGATTATGATGTCGATTGTGATGTCATGGTAACAGATGATATCACAATGCCCTCCCAAATGACTGGGATTCCCTTATTGAAGGGATGTCTTAATGTAATCTGTTGTTGAAGCCAGTTTTGGATCATAGATTGTGGGGAAACTCTGCAATTATTATGATAAGGATTCAGTGAAAGAATCCAGTTGCAGTTTATGTTATGGCTTGAGAATATAAGGTTTTGGTATAATGGAAAAAAAACAACATCCTGATCATTTAGTTATATTTTTATGTTATTTAATGTATTTAGATACAGGGGACCCCTTATTTTTTATTACATTATATTTAGATTTTTTTCATTAGGTTCTGAAAAGCAGCCCTGGAATTTGATGCATCATTTTAAACAGTTATTGGACAAATGGCTGTGTCTACACTGCTGATCACAGTTTCATTTGTTTTAGGGACGGTGGGGTAGCCTAGTACAAGTAGTTAAAGCTCTTCACACCGAAGATCCGGGTTTGATTCCCCGCATGTGTGAATCCCATTTCCGGTGTCCCCTGCCGTGTTATTGTTATCCTCCCAGCATGTAATGCGGGGGGATATAGTCGACACCTTGTCCGTCTGTCTGTCTGTCCGTAATCATTTTGTTTCCGGAGCATAACTCAAAAAACATTCAATATTTTTCTGCAAAACTTGGTAGATATATTTACAGACTTTGGGCATTTTAATTTTTCTCGGTTTCCATGGAAATGTTTTGGACTTTGGCCCAAAAGGGAGGTGTAGGTTTCGTTTCCGGAGCCCAACTCAAAAACTTCTTAATATCTTTCAGCAAAATTTGGCAGAGGCAGAACCAAAAGTGGTGCCTTTTGCTATTTGCAGTTTTGGCATTTTTTTTCTCCGGTTTCAATGGAAACGATTCAGACTTAGTCTCAAAAGGGAGGGGAGCACAACTCACAAACCGTTGATTATCTTTCAACAGAACTTGGCAGATATATGAGAAAGACCTTGAAGAGGTGCTTTTTGCTATTTACAGATTTTTGGCATTTCTATTTTTCTCTGTTTTCATGGAAACGATTCGGACTTAGTCTCAAAAGGGAAGGGTGGGCTTCATTTCCAGAGCACAACTCGAAAACCGTTTAATATATTTCAACAGTACTGGGCAGATATATGAGGCAGATCTTGAAGTAGTGCCTTTTGCTATTTACAGATTTTTTGGCATTTGTATTTTACCGGTTTCCATGGAAACGATTCAGACTTAGTCTAAAAAAATTCAAGCTGGACTTTATGTAACTGTCAGATGATTTGTTCTTTCAAGTATGTTGGGGCCGGGGGGATATGTCATCTTCTTATTTCTCTTGTTTGAATATTGCTAAGAGTGGCATAAGACTAAACTCACTCACTCATTTTGTTTTAGACTCGGATGCAGAGTATTGTGCCTGATCCCAATGCCAACTATCGCAGCCTGGCCGACGGTTTCGTGAAGATCCTGCGTTATGAAGGCATCAAGAACACTGTGCGTGGAATTAGCGCCATGGTGGTGGGGGCTGGGCCTGCACATGCTATGTACTTCGCCAGCTACGAGAAGATCAAGTCAACGCTCAGTAAAGGGAAGCAGGGCAACCACTTGGCTAATGGTGGGTTAACTTCAGCACTGTTTGGAAAAACAGGGTGGTGTAGTAGCACAGGAGGGTTAAATTCAAACACAACTTAGAGGTTGGGCTGAAATATAACATTGTTGGAAGAGGGGGATAGAGTTCTGACACATAAAGGGTTAACTTTGACAAACCATCATAGATGGGGTGATCTGTTGACATATGAAGGGGTAATTCAACACGTCAAATATGGTGGTTGGTTTAAGAAACATGATTCATTACCTTCAACATTTTTGGAAGACATGGGTTAGTCTAATGGCACGTATTGTGTTAGCTTCGACAAAGCATAGAATATTGGTTTCTATAATATACATAGATGGCTATATACCTTCAACTGCAAGAAAGGTGGGGCTATTGACACATGAAGGGTTAATTTGATTGTGCTCTGATTGACGACTGAGAGTGAATATGCTGTGACAGCAGTTTGTCATCCTCTATTTTCTGTGTATGTAAGGGAGCTTTTTATGCACTGAAAGCAAAAATATTAATATATTTTACAATAGAATTCTGCCTGCTTTAAAGTTTCTGCAGTCATGTTTTCAATATTAGGCTCTATTCAATGCTACATATGTTATCTGTATGAATGGTATGTCCTCTTTTGGTAAAGTAATAACAAGGATTTAGGGAAAACAAAAGTGGATTCACATATGCTAGTATATTATCAGGATTATAAACTTTAATAATGTATGAATCAGATAGCACAACCATTACATATATAACACAGTTTTTTATCGCCAGCATGTGGTGCTTTTGGTAAAAATTTTCTGTCGCATTTTACCCCGGTAATAATAACATCACCGTTCATAGCTGTATGGTGCTGTAGAACAATGTATGATAGTGTTGTGTACTGTAGCTCACCTGCGGGGATAAGTATTGATGGCATGCAATTATCATGTGGTATTGGCTGGTTCTTGTATATTTTCCTTATCCTGACTCATGCTTATTTGCTTGTCTTCTTCTTCTTCTTCGAACGAACACAGTGGAACACTTGTATCTCCCAATTGAAGTTCCTTTCAATGTAAAATCACTAATTAGTACTCACCACGAGTTATCTTTCCCTGGCCTTGAGGAGCAGAAGCCACCTCCCACCATGTGCCTCACTCTCTCCTTCTTAAGCCCAGTGAGCTGGGCGTGAGAGCCTGTGTCTCCCTACACACTATATCCTTTATTTATATTTAGTTTGTTACCTCTTATATTCATCTATAGAGGTGTAACTAGTATCCTTATTCAACATGCATTGATATTTATTCGTGTTTCTGCTGCTTTATTCACGGTTCGCCGTGTTTGCTCAGCAGTTTGCGTTAATGAAAATCTGCACTGTTTGTAAATTACGTTACTCTGCTGCCGATCCGCATTTAGTATGCCCTAGTTGCATAACTCCATGCTCTATTGTTTCACGCTGCAAATTATGTATTAATTTGTCTAATTCTGCCTTTGATAAATATTTATATTCCGTCTTGAGACGGGCGGCAGATAGATCTCGGAAACAATCTTCAGTCATGGCTAATAGATCAGAGTCAGATATACCCTGTCAACTGTTGGCGGACGACCCTCTACCGTCTGGTGTTCCGCCTGAGTTACCTACCTTCGAGTGGGGCATGATCCGCTATATCAAGAAGCGGCCTGCATCCCAGGACATTCCATCATCACAGTCTAAGACTAGAAGAGCTTCCATGTCGTCTCAACGTACGCTCCGAACCCCCAGGTCTACAGCTTCGTCAAAAGGGAAATCCACGAAGGCTACTAAAAACTTTGCTTCTGACATTCTACCTGTTTCAGAATTGTGTTTATATGATGATGACATTCCGATTATCATTCCAGATGTACGGCATAAGAAGCGACCAGTATCGGCTACCGTCACTTCAGCGCAGATCAACACGCAACCAGAGATGCCTACGCTGACGCCTGAGATTATAACTGAGGGTCCCGTCACTATCACAGAGAGGACACCCTCAACGCCAGCGCAGACCGTCCCAGACGACCTGGTTAACCAAATCATGATGTTGATGGAAGACCGATACGGTTTACAGAGGCCTCAGAGCCGCGGGCCCCAGAGCCCAACCCATAATAAGTCATGAAGGGCCCCAGAGCCCGCTATGACTTCGTGTAGGGCCCTAGAGCCCACAAACGCGCCTCCACGAAGGGCAACCCAGCCCGTATCGAAGCCTTCCGAAGAACGTCCCAGGCAGCCTCCACGAAGGATCCAGATCCTCACCAGTTCGCGAAGGGCTTCCGCGGAGGAGGAGGAGTGCTTCACCGAGCTCAGACCCTGTAGAACACACAGAGTGGATTAGCGAAGCAGGCTCCCATATAATGATTCGGACTCTGACTCGATACCTTCCGAAGGCCATCACGAAGGTTAAGTGGCTCCAAGTCATCTTCACCCAGAAGATCTAGAAGGGATTCATCGAGAGCTTCCGCTGAAGCCACCAGCGTTAAGCCGAGGAAGTCTCCTCCAAGGTCTCCCTATACTAGCCACTCGTCAGTCCGTTCACCACAATCTTCTCGTCGATCTTCTTACAGATCTAGGACTCCACCTCACTCTATTATATGTGATCCTACGTCAGAAGAGGAAGAAGGTATCGTATTCTCAGATGCAGAAATTAGATACTGGATGGTGAATGGATTGGAACTTGCTTCCCCGTCTAAGAACGAGAACTCAGCTCATACTTATTTGATGAAGGAAGATGATGCGGACACTATCTCCTTACCTCCTATTGACCCGATAGCAGCGGTTCCAGCTAATCTGGATACAGCCTTTACCAAATCTACGAAATTCCAATCAACACATTTCCCGGTTTTCAACGCCAAGAAATTTGCAGGTCACAATATGGACTCCTTTTTCAAGGCTCAAGAGATTGATGACAACTTTAAGTTAATCAGTGATGCCAAGTCCAGAAATTACAGAATAGACGATCGCAAACTAGCCCAGTTGGATACCATTTCTAGGAGAATGTTTTTTGGATTGAATAGATCTAGAACTGTCAATGAAACTCTCATCACCAAGTTCAAAGATTCTACAGAGGAGGAAGATAGAATGATCTACTCGGCTCTACTCATGCAGAAAAGAGACCATCAGTTCCTTACAGATCACTTGTCAGCGCTTACTGAAGCTACTACCATGGCTCGTCGTCAGGGTCTACTAGCCTCCTGCAATTGGGATAATCAATTTACGGAATCACTCTACGCTGCCCCATGGTCATCGCCCTTACTCTTTGGTGGTAACATAGACAAGGTCTCCAAAGAGGTGTCTAAGGACTCTAGAGAGGTGCTTATGATCAAGTCCATGGATACGTTAGCGAACGTCATTAAGCAATCATCCTTGAGATACTCTGGCAAGTCTAAATTCTCTGGACTACAGAAAGCACGGGACAAGAAATTGGCTACAGCAAAAGGTCCCAGGGAATCTTTTAAATTAAGCCCATACAGCAATTTCAGAGGAGGATCAGCAAGAGGCAGATCATCCAGAGGTTCCCAGCGTTTAGGCGATGAAATACAGGTTGGAGCGACTGGAGTCTTCCACCCCAGCCGTTCCAGTACAACCTTCTCAAGTGGGTGGGCGCCTTCAGCTGCACTGCACTGGGAAAACTGGGGATTACTACAAGATCCTTATGTATCCAACATCCTACAGCACGGATATCAAATACAACTCAAGGCCATACCTCCGTTAACAGTCATCCCTCCAAGGTTCGACTTTCAACCGGCACAACTACCTATGTTAAGAGAAACAGTAGCTACTCTGCTAAACAAACAGGCCTTAGAAGTTCTGGATCAGCGAAACATCGTACCAGGTTTCTACTCCCCAGTTTTCCTAGTGCCCAAGAAAATTCCAAGGAAAAGTTTCGTCTCATATACAACATGAGCATCTTCAACAAAGACTATCTAAGCAAACCGCCAGCGTTTTGCATGATACACTTACCGCAACTTCGGCACTTAATTCGTCCCAAAGATTACATGGCCAGCATAGATTTGCAAGGCGCATATATCTACATTCGATTCATCCCAATTCAAGGAAATATCTAAGATTTATCCTAGGCGGGAAACATTACCAATGGAAAGTATTTCCCGCCGAATCTCATCGGCCCCTTGGGTATTCACAAGAGTGACGAAGCCTATTGTCGCATACCTACATCGTCAAGGTCTTATGGCGCATTTTACCTAGGCGACGGGATACAAGTGGATCCAGATCCACAGCGTCTCAGACTACAGCTGAACTTTATAATCAAGTTACTAACACAACTAGGATGGTTAGTAAATCTACTCAAGTCGGACCTAGAACCAGCGCCAAGATCTGCAATTTCTAGGTATCACGATTCTAACAGCCCAGAATCGTATATAGTAGTCCCGGAGGACAGATGGATCAAGATCCAACAGTTAATCCCACAAGCCTTACTCTCTCGCTACCACTACGACAGTGGCAGATCCTATTGGGACTACTCACATCAGCCCAAGACTTGACAGTCAGAGGCAGGCTTCAATTCGTCCGTTACAAGTCCTCATCAATGCGCATCTCGAGGACCCTCTACCGTTCAGTCTACCAGATCACGTCAAACCTCATCTACTCTGGTGGACCAAGAGATTGAATGTTTGCGTGGCGTCTCCTTAATAGAGCGGAATCGAAACACATCTCTCACGTAGGCCAGCGTCACTACAAGGTTGGGGAGCCCACCTGCGCCTACAAGACAGCGTCAGGCCTATGGAGCAATCAAGAGAGCAAATGTCACATAAATCTGCTAGAGATGCAAGCAGTCATAAGCGCCATAAGTCACTGGAGCAACCTACTACAGAGCGGCTCAGTTGATGATTCACACAGACAATTCGACAGTGGCGTTTTATGTGAACAAACAAGGCTCAACAAGGTCACCGAACCTACTGTCTCTATGTTTCCGATTATTCGATCTAATCAACAATCTAAACATACATGTCAGAGCTTGCCACATTCCAGGAGCAAAGAATGTATTAGCAGGCGCTTGCTCTCTCGGCCACACCTACCGTCGCCCGACAGAATGGATGCTCCACACAGAGATATTCACTCAAATAATCATGGAAATAGGATCTCCACTAGTAGACCTATTAAGCCACTCGATTCAACAAACAACTGACAACTTTAAATATTGCCAGTTCCAGACCCACTAGCATGGGCAGCGGGCGCACTAAGCATATCGTGGGAGGGACTCAGCAGCGTGCGCTTTCCGCCACCAGCGTTAATCCCACAAGTCTTACAGAAAAATCAGTCAAGCGCCAGAGCCTCCATCTGATTTTGGTGCACCCTACTGGCCAGCGAGCGTGGTTTCCAAATCTTATTCAAGAAATCGGACAACCAATTCTACAACTTCCAGAACGCTTTCGAATCTATTGATACATCCGCACACCAAACAAGTGCACGGAAAACCAGAAGTATTCCAACTTCATGTATGGATTGTATCAAGGCATGTCTGAATAAGAGAGGTTATTCAGCCAGAGCGGCAAAAGCAGTCACGCTTGCACTGCGTAACTCAACTCGCAACTTATACGATGACAAATGGCACAGTTTTGTCAATTATGCTGCAAAGAAAGGATTTACAGCCAGATATGCTACTCATCCTCAAGTGGCGGACTACTTATGTTATCTACGACAAACTAAGAATCTAAAAGGCTCAACTTTGTCCACTTATCTTGCAGCATTAAGCTCTGTCATAACTATGAGAACGGGCGTCAAGTTAACAAAGACCCCAGAGTTACTCGCTTTGCTACGAGCATTCCGATTGGAGGATCACAAGCGGAAGTTTCACCGCTCCAGCTTGGGATCTAAATATAGTGCTCCAACACCTCACAAGTGAGGCTTATGAACCGTTAGAATCTACATCGTTTGAATCACTGACCCAGAAAACTTGTTCCTGTTAGCGCTAGCTACGGCTGCCAGGATGTCAGAGATTCACGCTTTGGATTACGAGAGAACACGCTTTGATGATATTCATAACATCGTTCATCTGGGACTACGCTGGGATTTTATAGCTAAGAACCAATTGCCAGGTCAACCAGACAGATTATTCCATGTCCCAGCTCTCTCATCCATACTTGGACCTCATGATACGATGGATCTATCACTATGCCCAGTAAGAGCACTGAAAATATATCTCCACCGATCCAAACAGAGGAGAGGAAAATTCAAGAGATTATTTATCCCTCTATCTACAGCTCACGCAGCGGAAGTCTCACGTACTACTATCTCAATTTGGATCAGAACTGTCATACTCGTGCCTACAAGGCTGCAGGACTCGACCCTCCAAGAGCATCTAATCCTCATGAAATTAGAGCTAGCATCAACACTTGCTCTACACGGCTACTGCTCTTTGAATACCATAATGGAGGGTTGTTTCTGGAGATCCGATATGGTGTTTGCCAACCACTATCTGAGAGATATCACCACCAGGGCGTCTCAGGTATCCACCATTTCGGTCCCATGGTCCTCGCTCAACAGTTGACAGTTCCTTGGAAGATAAGTCAATCTTACAGATTTATACTTATCTGATATCAGTACTAAATAGCTACATGCTATATATGTATTTTGCTTAAGTTCAATCTATTATCTTAAGCTCAGTACTATGGTTATTATATCATACAATATATTAGCTAACAACTCTAAGGAGTTTTGCTATTATATTTAGCTTAAGTTTCATCATATCTTAAGCTCAGTAATATGGTCACATTTATATATATATTAGCTAACAAACTCTACGGAGTTTTTGCTATTATATAGCTTAAGTTAAATTATATCTTAAGCACAGTACTATACTCATATAGCTTAAGTTTATGCGTATCTTAAGCTTAGTACTTTGGTTACTTCATAAAAGTATATTAACTATAAACTCAAGGAGTTTATGCTATCACATTAACAACTTAAGTCTACTAGTCTTAAGCTTTGTATTAATGTTGTACATACTTTATCATAATAAGTATATTGTAATAGTTATATTGTAATAACCCATATATGGCAGCTGATAAGTTAGCAGCAGGAATTCATCAGTTCAGTGCCTTTATGAAGTTCCCATAGGGTTATTACAGTCATTACAATTCAAATCACTAATTATCCAAATCCAAAGTATTATATATTCCCACCTCCATAACCGTCGGATTCTCAAGCAAATAAGCATGAGTCAGGATAAGGAAAAATATGTAATTTTCTGAGTAAAATTGATATTTTATACTTATCCTGACTCATGAATGCTCCTCCCATCCTCCCACATAACACTTTGGATTTCCCTGTAAATTCAAGTGTTGGGCTCGCTATAAAGGAGAGAGTGAGGCACATGGTGGGAGGTGGCCCTCGCCCTCGTTCACGCGCTTGCGAGGGGAAAGATAACTCGTGGTGAGTACTAATTAGTGATTTTACATTGAAGGGAACTTCAATTGGGAGATACAAGTGTTCCACTGTGTTCGCAAAGAAGAAGAAGACAAGCAAATAAGCATGAGTCAGGATAAGTATAAAATATCAATTTTACTCAGAAAATTACATTTTTGTTGGGCGGTGGGGTAACCTTGTGGTTAAAGCTTTCGCTTGTTATGTCGAAGACCGGGTTTGATTCCCCACATAGGTACAATGTGTGAAACCCATTTCTGGTGACCCCGCTGTGATATTGCTGGAATATTGCTAAAAGCGGCGTAAAACTAAACTCACTCACTCACTGTACTTTTGTTGGGTTGAGTCCCATCCAGGATTCGAACCCATACCCTCAGAGTCAGGCACCTAATTGCCAGCACGCAAAGTCAGCCACCTAACCCGTTCAGCCCGAGAGAAAAACATGTCTTGTATTTTGATTTTTTAAATGTTTTGTTGCAGGAGCTGCAGGCTGTGTTGCTACGTTGTTGCATGATGCTGTCATGAATCCTGCTGAAGGTTAGTGTTGTATATATGATGCTGTCATGAATCCTGCTGATGGTTAGTGTTGTATATATGATGCTGTCATGAATCCTGCTGAAGGTTAGTGTTGTATACATGATGCTGTCATGAATTGAAGGTGTTGTATATATGATGCTGTGCCATGAATCCTGCTGAAGGTTAGTGTTGTATATATGATGTTATGTCATGAATCCTGCTGAAGGTAAATGATGTATATATGATGCTGTCTTGAATCCTGCTGAAGGTAAGTGTTGTATATATGATGTTGGTTATGTCATGAATCCATGAATCCTGCTGAAGGTTAGTGTTGTATACATGATGCTGTCATGAATCCTGCTGATGGTTAGTGTTGTATACATGATGCTGTCATGAATCCTGCTGATGGTTAGTGTTGTATATATGATGTTATGCCATGAATCCTGCTGAAGGTTAGTGTTGTATACATGATGCTGTCATGAATCCTGCTGAAGGTAAATGATGTTTATATGATGCTGTCTTGAATCCTGCTGAAGGTAAGTGTTGTATATATGATGTTATGTCATGAATCCTGCTGAAGGTTAGTGTTGTATACATGATGCTGTCATGAATCCTGCTGAAGGTTAGTGTTGTATATATGATGATGTCATGAATCCTGCTGAAGGTTAGTGTTGTATATATGATGTTATGCCATGAATCCTGCTGAAGGTTAGTGTTGTATACTAGTATATGATGCTGTCATGAATCCTGCTGAAGGTTAGTGTTGTATATATGATGCTGTCATGAATCCTGCTGATGGTTAGTGTTGTATACATGATGCTGTCATGAATCCTGCTGATGGTTAGTGTTGTATATATGATGCTGTCATGAATCCTGCTGATGGTTAGTGTTGTATACATGATGCTGTCATGAATCCTGCTGATGGTTAGTGTTGTATATATGATGTTATGCCATGAATCCTGCTGAAGGTTAGTGTTGTATATATGATGCTGTCATGAATCCTGCTGATGGTTAGTGTTGTATATATGATGCTGTCATGAATCCTGCTGAAGGTAAGTGTTGTATATATGATGCTGTCATGAATCCTGCTGATGGTTAGTGTTGTATACATGATGCTGTCATGAATCCTGCTGATGGTTAGTGTTGTATATATGATGCTGTCATGAATCCTGCTGAAGGTTAGTGTTGTATACATGATGCTGTCATGAATCCTGCTGATGGTTAGTGTTGTATATATGATGCTGTCATGAATCCTGCTGAAGGTTAGTGTTGTATATATGATGCTGTCATGAATCCTGCTGATGGTTAGTGTTGTATACATGATGCTGTCATGAATCCTGCTGATGGTTAGTGTTGTATACATGATGCTGTCATGAATCCTGCTGATGGTTAGTGTTGTATATATGATGCTGTCATGAATCTTGCTGATGGTTAGTGTTGTATATATGATGCTGTCATGAATCCTGCTGATGGTTAGTGTTGTATATATGATGTTGTGCCATGAATCCTGCTGAAGGTTAGTGTTGTATACATGATGCTGTGCATGAATCCTGCTGAAGGTTAGTGTTGTATACATGATGCTGTCATGAATCCTGCTGAAGGTAAGTGTTGTATATATGATGCTGCTGTCATGAATCCTGCTGAAGGTAAGTGTTGTATACATGATGCTGTCATGAATCCTGCTGAAGGTTAGTGTTGTATATATGATGCTGTCATGAATCCTGCTGATGGTTAGTGTTGTATATATGATGCTGTCATGAATCCTGCTGATGGTTAGTGTTGTATATATGATGCTGTCATGAATCCTGCTGATGGTTAGTGTTGTATACATGATGCTGTCATGAATCCTGCTGAAGGTTAGTGTTGTATACATGATGCTGTCATGAATCCTGCTGATGGTTAGTGTTGTATATATGATGCTGTCATGAATCCTGCTGATGGTTAGTGTTGTATACATGATGCTGTCATGAATCCTGCTGATGGTTAGTGTTGTATACATGATGCTGTCATGAATCCTGCTGATGGTTAGTGTTGTATACATGATGCTGTCATGAATCCTGCTGAAGGTAAGTGTTGTATATATGAAGCTGTCATGAATCCTGCTGAAGGTAAGTGTTGTATATATGATGCTGTCATGAATCCTGCTGAAGGTGGTTGTAGTGTTGTATATATGATAGCTGTCATGAATCCTGCTGATGGTTAGTGTTGTATACATGATGCTGTCATGAATCCTGCTGAAGGTTAGTGTTGTATATATGATGCTGTCATGAATCCTGCTGATGGTTAGTGTTGTATATATGATGCTGTCATGAATCCTGCTGATGGTTAGTGTTGTATACATGATGCTGTCATGAATCCTGCTGATGGTTAGTGTTGTATACATGATGCTGTCATGAATCCTGCTGATGGTTAGTGTTGTATATATGATGCTGTCATGAATCCTGCTGATGGTTAGTGTTGTATATATGATGCTGTCATGAATCCTGCTGATGGTTAGTGTTGTATATATGATGCTGTCATGAATCCTGCTGATGGTTAGTGTTGTATATATGATGCTGTCATGAATCCTGCTGAAGGTTAGTGTTGAATACATGACGCTGTCATGAATCCTGCTGAAGGTTAGTGTTGTATACATGATGCTGTCATGAATCCTGCTGATGGTTAGTGTTGTATACATGATGCTGCCATGAATCCTGCTGGAGTTATATGTTTTATATATACTGTTATGTCATGAATCCTGGATTAAGAATCCAATTAAGTCAGGACTGCAATTGCTGTTGTTTCCTGTTGTTTAACACCAGCACAATCATGATATATGACTGCAGCCTTCAAGCTGTCGACCAGTCATTTGTCTCTAAGCTACACACTGATGTTCAGTGTTCACTCAACAGCTGTTTATCTTGATGGTACAGTAAATTTAATATTGATGTCACATATGACATCTTCCACACTGTTATCAAATGTACCGGTACTGTTATTTGTGTATGAGAGATTGTAGGCTGTAGTCGTGATTAAGGGGCAGTGGTATTTCCAGGTGATGGGTACTCGTATTTCAGCAGACCTGGTTCAATTCCATATATCGGTAAAATATATGTGGGTGGTTTCTCATGTCCATGTCTCATGTCTCATTGCTAACATATTGCTGAAGGTGGCGTACAGTTCAACTCATTGACTATTTGGTGGGGGAGTCTGGTGGTTAAAGCGTTCACTTGTCACACCGAAGTCCCGGGTTCAATTCCCACATGTACAATGCGCGAAGACCATTTCCGGTGTCTTCAGACATGTTATTGCTGGAATATTGCTAAATGCAGGACTAAAACCCAACTCACTCACTACAATGTATGATTTTTTGTGTCTCTTGCTGTGATGTTGCAGGAATATTGCTTAGAACTATATACTCACCCACTCATATTACAGGTAAGGTGATTGATTTTATGTGATCATGCATTGTTCTCTTGACAGACTAAAATGAATATTAAGTGTCTTGTTGTCCAGAATAGGTCTGACTGTGTTTTCTCTGTTAATGTTGCAGTGGTCAAGCAGAGAATGCAAGTGTATGGAAGCCCGTACAAGACATGTGTTGATTGTGCAAAGACTATAGTTCAAGAGGAAGGTGCTCGAGCCTTCTATCGAAGCTTCACAACACAATTGACTATGAATATTCCTTTCCAATGCTTGCACTTTATGACTTACGAATTTATGCAAGACTGCCTGAACCATCAGAGACAGTATGACCCTCGGAGTCATGTGATATCAGGTGCTTTAGCAGGTGCTGTTGCTGCTGCTGCAACCATGCCGTTAGACGTTTGCAAAACCCTGCTCAACACGCAGGAGCAGTGCGCTCGGACTAAGATCTCATATGTGAATGGTATGGCAGCGGCCTTCAGGACAGTTTACGAGTTTCAAGGAATCACCGGTTACTTTCGAGGCATTCAACCGAGAGTGATCTACCAGATGCCCTCGACAGCAATATCGTGGTCTGTGTACGAGTTCTTCAAGTTCACAATTTCGAAGAAGCAGAGAGATGACAGTCACTACCTCTCGTCGCCTGTCAAATCGATGCCTGTGCATGCTGCTACTGCCGCCTCCTCCAGATGACATGTGACCTTCGAAAGGTATTGTCATTGGTCAGTTAATGCTGATCATTGGCTGCTAGCAGGATCTTGCATTGGCAATGGTCAGGAAGGTTCTGATTGCTTTCAGATAGGTTTCAGTATATGAGGGAAAAATTACTATTAAGTATATTTGAACATCTGACACCCAGTGTAGAGTATCTTGTGTTAAGTTTAGCCGAAAATGATGAAATGAATGAGTCAGGGGAAATAACTGTTGTTGAATAATCACTTTTCATTAAGTAACAGCACTACATATGTAATTTGAAACATATTTTATATTCAAATCATGAACGTACAGTCTGTGAAATGGCTTCCTGTGATTGTAATTAAATGTGTTTCTTAATACTTTTCAGTTTATGGGTATATGATGTATTTTTTTATTTCATACGCTTGGTCCAGAATTTTGTTATTTCTTATAAGTTTAAAAAAGAGGGGTAAATATCTCAAATGTTTTATCTGGATATGTTGCTAAGGGCACCAACTGTTGTGTGAATAGTGCAGATATTCATAAATAGTTGTATTCATATAATACTTTTTGAAGTGATGCTGTGCAGAAGGAAAGCAAAATAATATTTGAGATAATTCTTCATTTTACGTACTCAGGAAAGTAGAAAACGAGAGTGATTTTCTGGTTATATTTTGTTGCCAGATTTATTTTTGGATTATTGAAGGTTTGTGAATCCAAAAGTTTCTAGAAATATATCAGCTTCTTCATGTGGGTTATAGTCTGTTTGCGGTGAAAACGTACTGATGAATTTCACTTTAAACAAAAAAGTAAATCAAATAAATTGAAATTAAGATTGCGAATCCTCATAATGTTACTTTGCCATTTGAAAATTTTATCTCAGAATTTTATTCAACTTGGGATGAAAGTTGTTTAACAAACGATCATAGTTTCAAATCGGTACTATTGGTTAGTATTACAAGGGGGTATGCACATAAAATGAAACACTGATATCAAGTAGGGTTGGTCTAAGTTAAGGCTCATCACGTACCGCACGTGCATTTGTTTCACTGTTCCAACTACTGCGCTTACCCCCTTGTAATACAAACCAATATAAGCGATTTGAAACTTTGATCGTTTGTTAAACAACTTTTTTTTAAGTTGATTTAAAATCTAAGATTTAAATGTTCAATTGGCAAGGTAGAATTATGAGGATTCGTAATCTTAATTTCACTTTATTCGATTTACATTTTTGTTTAAAGTGCAATTCACTGGTACGTTTTCACTGCAAACAGACTATAGTTTGACTTATAAGTTATAGTCAGCCTATTGTTTGTCGACCACGGTACTTAGTGTTTTGTTGCAGGTCTGTGGGCTGGGACTTTCATGAAGCTATTCCACATATTGAATGTACATGCCAATCTGTAGCTCTCAGGATATGACCATTATATTTTGCTTTTAATATAATAATACTATGTACAGTTAACAGTGAAGTCCAGGTACGTAAATTTGTTTAATCAATCGCTGATTTAAATTTGAAGACTATCTTCCATTTGAAACACATTTCAATAAGGTTATGAAATGGATTTCACCGCGAGGTCTTAATCAAGGGGAGATAATTCAACAGAGGGTCAAAGCTAGTTACTCTCTAGTGATAAAGGTATAATCAACAGTTTAAACATTATTCATGGACCTGCTATTTATCACTTTAATAGAGGGAATCAAGGGAGGGTTGTCACATAACATGTCACAGGGGAGGGGGCATGAAAAAATATAATTAATATTTTAATGGGGTTATGACAAATTGTTATGTATGTAAGTTTATGTGTAACTTTGTTGTATTTAAAACATTGAAGGGAGCATCATGAAGAGTCGGACAAATTTTTGGGGACAATTTTAATTCAACGTTATCTCACCCTTGATTCCCACCAGTCCCAAGCCCCAATGTTAATGAGCACTCTCTTAGTTTTATTGGTTAAGTTTATAACCATCACATTTAGTCATGGCCATGTAATGTATTGCCATCTATGCATAACATGAGTTATCTCCCTTCAGTCATCAACGGTGGTGGTTCTCTCAATATACTCAAGAAACTTGTCATGTGTCAGAATACTTAATACTAAAAATTATCAACAAAAGATCATCTTTATTATAAAGAAACAGTAAATATACCTACTTAACTAATACAGCTCTTCTAGAGTACAGAGTGATGGAGATTGTTCTGAATTTAACAGATAGATAAGAAATAGTCGTCTTTGCTGTTGAAGTTTCTTCTCAACAAGGAAACTGTTTGCTAATGCTTGTCATTGTTTGAAACTGGTTAATCATTGTTTGAAGTATTTGTAGTACATAGCCTCTAGTAGAGCTGAATGAGATTTTACATCAAACATGTTAAACACAGACTGTAAAATTCGTTTTGTACTTTTGGACACATGACTTATTTATCACGTGCTTTCCTTCCTTTACACTCTTTTGATCATATGTAATAATACTGGTGTGTGAATTTCACATTATTGCTTATCCTTGTGGACAGAGCACTTCATACTCTGCTTCTATGAGTATGATTCAAGATCTATTTTGTCACTAGCAGTCATCCAGCATCCATTATGCTATCAACCAAAGGAATATGTTTCAGGCAAATAATAACTTTCTCAAGGAGCGTGGTATTTAGTATTTGTAAAATAGGGTATAAACATGGGTTACATTTTTTATTCTCCTGGATGTTTGACACAAGTGATAGGCATCTTTTGGATAAATCACAAGCCCCTGAACTTATTTGGGTACACAGACAGCAACATGGCTAGCAAATATTTTTGTTGTACTTTTGGGTAAACACTGCCATTGCTGAAGGTTCATCCTTTCTTACTCATGTTTTGAAGTGATCTTTTCATGGATGTAGAGGGGAAGCCTCATGGTTAAGGCATTGGCTGATCATGCCGAAGACAGGGATTTGAGTCTACTCATGTCTATTTCTCGCGTCCCCGAACCGTGTGCGTCATACCAAAAGACGTGAAAATATGGTACTTGTTGGTCCCTGCCTGGCTCTCGGCATTAATAGGTGCAACAAGACTGGTCGGTACAGAGTCAGTATAATGTGTCTGAGTGGGGTATTCATGCTTCACTGCGGCATGGTATCTAAGTGGCACTATAAAACCAGCTTAAGTCTGGGCTAGTACAAGCAGCCGCACATACATATACACATGCATGCACGTCGTCATATGAGCGAAATATTCTCAAGCACAACGTTAAACCCAATTTCACCTCACCAGAGACAAGAATGGACGCCTCAGTAGAAAGTAAAATTACGCATTTTATCTTCTTAACGGTCCATGTTATTTGAAGTTGTGTCACAAAATATTGCATTGACCCAGACTTCTATGAATGGTTTGGGGGCGGTGGGGTAGCCTAATGGTTAAGGCGTTCGCTTGTCACGACGAAGACCCGGGTTCGATTCCCCACATGGGTGCAATGTGTGAAGCCCATTTCTGGTGCCCCTAGCTGTGATATTACTGGAATATTGCTAAAAGCGGTCTAAAACCAAACTCACTCACTCACTATGAATGGTTTGGCAGCCATTTTGCTGTTAATGTTAAGCAGTGTCGTCCCAAGGTCAAGTCTTACTGTGAAAAACACACATCAGGTCTTCATATTGTCCTGGTTCGCGTGTGAAGATTAGTTTCTTTAGAAAGTGGGCTTGCACTCAACTTGTATGGCTTTTCTGACAATACAGACAAACCTCAGCAACTTCTAAACAACAATGGCCCCATTACCCGGTCATGTCAAACCCATGGAGATTGAGGTGTGTCTGTATTTTCTAGATTTTTCATGGATTTTTATATCCGGTTTATTGGTGTTTACAGAGTGTGATTTATTTCTCTTTTAGGAATTGTTTTAATTTTAACAGGTATAACTATTAGTTTCTGTTATCCAGCATACATATTGTCACAACAAGGTAGATAATAAACAACAGGATTAGAGGCATTAGCACAAGAGTTGCATACTGCCCAGGAAGTTGAGATTGATAATATGATGTGCTGTTGAGATTGACATCCAGTGATCGAGGGAAAAATACCAGCACCTTGAGCAAGCACTAGTTGCCTGGATATGTGCGCTATATAAATATCCTATAATAATAATAATAAAAAGTATATGCAAGCCGACTATATATGCTAGACTAAGTTTGTCCTCGCCCAGTTTTTACATATTTACAGACACCAGTGCTGGTTAAATAGATAGGGACCATGTACCATCTATTTATATTACCTTTAGAAATTTGTAAGTTGAATTCATGACTGAAAGAAATTAGTAATTCAAACTTATGGGTTATCAAATAAACGTCATAAATGAAAGCCAAATTTACTAATATGGTGTGAATGACATTTGGTACTGACATAATAGTTAGCTACCTGTTTCTTTTAATGCATTCCTTTAGAAGAGATTTGAATTGTTTGAGTTTGTTTTTATTATCGCAGTTGCTTGGGATATGGAAAACATTTCTGTTTTGTTGAAAGCATTGATAACTGAAAATAGAAATATTTCTAAATACCCTCTTTTAAGTTTTGTTTTTATTCATGTTCTGAAATTCTATCAATTTTGATATCTAGGTAATTGAATTAAAGATATACTGTACTAGCCTGACTGGATTTTTTCTAGCCACGGACTAGCGGGCCAGTGGCTATTTTGCACACTGTACAATGTTTTGCCAAGAAATGTGTTTGTTTTGAGCAGTGTTCTCTTTGTCATCTATTGTGTCTGTGAATAATTTTTTAATGAATCTACTGTTCAAAAGACTCACATTATAACAAAGACTGTATCCGTTTGAGGGGTGGTGGGGTAGTCTAGTGGTTAAAGCGTTGGCTCGTCACGCTGAAGACCCGGGTTCGAATCCCCACATGGGTGACAACGTGTGAAGCCCATTTCTGGTGTCCCCCACCGTGATGTTGCTGGAATATTGCTAAAAGCGTCGTAAAGCAAAACTCAGTCAGTCAGTATCCATTTGATATTATTTTCTGAATGTGGTAAGTTTCACAACATAATCTAGAACTATGTTTGAGCATTTGAGGAACATGTTTTGTAAATTCAGTAATTCTTTAAGGACATATTCTTGGCAGAACACTAAAACAACTGCTTTTGTGCAGATAGTAATGTTTTCCAAACCCCTGTTCATAGCTTTTGTGTCATAGATGCATAGCCTCTATCATTTTGTCTAATTACGGTGTATTTTAAGTCATTCCAGAGCTGAACAACTGGTAATGGAGACTATCCCATACACACAGCTTCACCTTAATTTGCCACCATGTGACCAGCAATTGTCCAATCATAGCCTCTGATTCTAAACCATGTAACCTGCATCTGGCCAATACTAGCCATGGATTGAGTATCGTCAACCTTGTCGTCCATCCTAACCTATGGTCCACAATTCCTCAAGGAGTGCTTGTCCATTATGGCGGAATTTATCTAAAATATTCCACAGTTTATACAACTGGTTATATTCCACTCAACATCAACCATTGACAATGTTACTGTCAGAGAGTAAAAGCCAAGGAATCATCAGGTCATGTGACTGTTGCCAAGAAACATGTCATGTGACCCTGTTACTAAGGTAACTTGAAGTCATTTGACTATACATCGGTGCTGCCTGGGTGTCAGAAGAGAGTCTTTTACACACGAGCAGTGCAATAATATTTTAGTGCTTTATTCCTCAACTAGATCTGGTATTTCCCTTTTGTTGGAAGAAGAACTTTCACATAATGGGTAATTTTAATGACATATCGTCCCGTTGGCATTTTGCTGAAAGAAGAACTTTTACAATGTGCCAGGTGTGTTTTAATTGCAGAATCCAGTGAGATGATTGTGCTGGATCTATGTTCCCAAACTATTCCTGAAGTGATGAATAAATTGTGTGAGTGCGGTGTATGTGATTGTGGTAAGAAGAACTTGCCCAGTTCAACCCTGTGAAAGAAGTCCAAAATGGCTGCCATTTGTAGAAAGCAGACTTTCTCAGTGTCGGCCAAGGAAGGGGGATATTATGCATCTGACCTTGGCCTACTAGACGGAAACGTTACCAATGTGATGAGAAAAATGACTGCATATGTGGAAAGATGAACTTTCTCAGTGTTGTCAGTATTTATTTACACGAATCATGTTGACTGCACATGTGGAAAGACGAACTTTCTCAGTGTTGGTTGATCTGAAGAAACTCCAAAGAACATTGTTTATCTTTTTCAGTCATATTGTTAAAATTTGAAGAATGTGAAAATAATATCAATGCTTGTTGCAGAATCAGATCTATTTGATTGTTACCAATTCTGAGGTGCGAGATGACTCAATTATAAAATAGCTTCCGATCGAACCCTCTTAGCAAGACATAGGCATTGTAGGTTATTTATTAGAAAAAGACGTTCAGATGAACCTATTTTTTATTTTGTGAACAATATACTCAGCAAGTCAGTTTAGTGATAATTGAAGATGTATGACCCGTATGTTGCATGATCACTTTCATGATTTGTCTTGACAAATATTTTACCTTTCTAGTTATCTAACCATTTACCAAGACCGATGACATTGATTAGTATACAGGAAAGTTTTGGGACACTTTGGAAGTTTTTTATGTTTCATTTCATCTCCAATTGGAACAAACCAGATATTTCATAATAACTTGTTCAACGAGATGGGATTTAAATTTTGAATCTGTTTTGTTCTTTTTTTTCAGAAGATATTTAGGAAAGGCTAATGTGCTGCTTTTTTTTCACCCTAAATAACCAGAACTCCTTGAATTACCGGTTTCTTCTTCAAGCCCTGGCTACTGGACATTATGATTTCATTCAGTCTGTCTGCAATCGTTCAGTTCACAGTGTTATTAAATTGGAGTTTAGGAGTTGATGCAAATGGCCTGCATGCCACTTACACCTAGAGTAATAAATTATTTATTTTTCGATGGTAAATATAATCTTTCCCTCATGATATCCAATCTCGTATATGGTAGTACTTAATGGTAAAAGTTGAAGTATGGTCATCAAGCTTCAGATATTTGTAACTTTGACATGTATATTCCTGGATAAATTTACCTTGATATCTTTTAACTAAGAAGGCAGGTTAGATTTATTATGTGTTCCAAAAGTAATCTGCTTGGAAACTGTTTTGTCATTCAGAGTATTTGAATATTTGAATAAATCTTATTTAGACACAGCAGTGTAAAATTGCTCACCAATAAGTCTAGATATATTTGAACTTGGACATCATGAGGGAAGGATTCAATTTGTCATCCAAAATATTTCAGCAACTTCTCCTCAGTTTGTAAACAGTAATAACAAAGCGCCTTTGAGCAGCTGAGCTGGATATCGGTGCTATACAAATGTTAGTATGTATATGTATGTAATAACCAGTGTCTTGACTGTAAATAGAACAGAGAGATTCTTGATGTTATTGTAATTCGACATCATACTAGCTGATGAGTGTATTCATTCACAGATAGTCATGGAGTCATGGGCTTATATACCTGTTCTAGATACATCACAATGACACCTAACACGCTCCATCAGTACAAGTCTTACAAACGTTTCATGTGAAAGATACCTTTTATATGAGTAAATATTTTATTATATTCTTTCACAGATAGTCATGGAGTCATGGGCTTAAATACCTGTTCTAGATACATCACAATGACACCTAACATGCTCCATCAGTACAAGTTGGCAAACGTTTCATGTGAAAGGTACCTTTTATATGAGTAAATATTTTATTATATTCATTCACAGATAGTCATGGAGTCATGGGCTTAAATACCTGTTCTAGATACATCACAATGACACCTAACATGCTCCATCAGTACAAGTTGGCAAACGTTTCATGTGAAAGGTACCTTTAATATGAGTAAATATTTTATTACTCTGTTCTTCACAAAGCCTACACCAAGCCGTGTGAGAAATGGCTGCTGTGTGTTTACCTATATCTGGTTCCCAAGACCATTCATCCAGCTTGCAAGTTCCAGAAAGACTGGAAGTCCTGACCAGAAGAGACAAGGGACCAGAACAAACAAGAACCCTTTGTGATTTTATTGCATTGATTGTGCTGGTATGCTTGAGAAAATCCTTACTAAAACATTATCTTTGACATTATTATTGTAGCATGAAGTTTCTATGACAAGATTAATATTTAACTGTGTCTGTGAGATCAATGATTATATCAGTCTTTCAACAGGATATTGTAGTATAACTGGTTTATCTCGCACCTCAGAACCTTGTTGTATGCTGAATCATCACATAAGCCAATACCATACTCTCTGTGTTCTGTTGTTTGTTTCCTGTGGGATCAGTAACTTAGTATGGGTTTGCGTGGCTTTAGGAGGACTGCTGTGCAACTCCAGGCCAGATATGTTTTTTTTTATTCCAGTTAAGAAAACGGCAGATGCTACAAAGGTAAAACTGGAAGGGCAGGACATGACCCTTTTCCTGATGATACTTGATGATGATTTCGCTGTGACACAAGACGAAGATATTTCACTTTTGATATGGGAGTGCTGCTTGTAGAACAGGACGGGTTTACCCTTTCCCCGAAAACCTGTATGACAATATTGGGTTATTTCTCTGGAAATTGGTCACTAACATGCAGGTTTATCATTCATGCAGAAAATTGTGCTGTGTCCATTGTACCCATTTGGGGAACCGAACCCGGGTCTTTAATGTGACAAGCAAACACTTAACCACTAGGCTACCCCACCACCATAGACAGAGTAGTAAATTGACAGAGGACACTGGTTATTCTGCAAGCTCTGGCATGTTTTAGAGGCTGTCACCTTCTGATGGAAGAGCCTCTCTGACTACAAGAATGACAGGATTTCCTCTACCAGCTGAGAACTTCACATATTGTCCCACCCTCCACTCCCTCTTATCACAATTATCACAGCAAAAGGCAAGTTCGAATCTGAAATAGTCGCTAGTTCATAGACATATCACCCATGACAGCGGATGAGACAATTCGGTTACTAACAAAGAGAAACGTGGCTATAAAAGTAAACATTCATGGAAACACAAGAGAAAACCAGAAATCATTCTCCTAGCTATGGCAATTGTTGCCATGGTGTCAGATCTACATGCTGTTGATATTTCCTCAGTTACGCAAGCATAACGCTAGAGGTCAATACTCAAGTCCCCACTTTAATCTTTTCACCAAATCGGACTTCAGCATTTGGCCTCCCATGTGTCAAGGCAATTATCACTGCCTGATGTAAAACGTATGGATTTTCTGCAAGCCACAATGTCCCATCGGAGCTCAGAAATACCACTGACAGCATATCTAGACCCCCAAGGAAACAGAGAAAATACCTGTTCAGCTATTGCCGATGTGACTTTAATTAAAACACTTCATCAGAAAAGGAAGGTGCCTGAAAGTTACAAAACACGAAGGTGAGTTGGTGGTAGGGTGGGCATATCTCTGGCCATAGTTTGGAATAATGGAACTGGGTGTTAAAATGATTTTCTACAGGTTTGTCTCGTCTTGGCGCTATATTTGAAACCAGAAATGACATCACAGGCGTCCCCTCTACCGGAAATTACGCCATCGGTACGTAAATATTGCCACCCTTGAAATGATATGCCATTGCCTGACACCTGCGCAGTAGGACTGGTGCAGAGGATAGGGTTACCTCAAAACAAGATCTTTTGGTCAGGACGTACGTACCCGTTGTCTAGATGCTTTTCATATTTGATATCTAGGCTCATTACAGTATTTTAAGGTCACAAGTGGGATTGTCAGCAAGATATCTCAAGAAAGGTTCACTGGATTTTCTTTAGAGACTTTCAGGACTCGTCTTTTTTTTTTGATAAGCAATTTTCTTTATTACTATTTTTGCATATTTCATTCACCATCACATTCATGTTAAGGTCAGGGGCGGTGGGGTAGCCTAGTGGTTAAAGCGTTGGCTCGTCACGCCAAAGACCCTGGTTCGATTCCCCACATGGGCACAATGTGTTAAGCCCATTTCTGGTGTCCCCCGCCGTGATATTGCTGGAATATTGCTAAAAGCGGCGTAAAACTAAATTCAGTCAGTCAGTCATGTTAAGGTCAAAGTGAATCCTGAAAATATTTCTGTGTTTGAATAGCAGCAGCGCAAGATATCAAGAGAGGTTGACTGGTCATGTTTTTGTTGACGTTGGACTTCATCTTAAACTACGACCTTCACTTTCATTACATTTTAAGTTTGATTTCATGATTTGCGGCGGGGAATTATGTCACCTTGGTGACAACTGCTTGTTTTGTACTGATTTAATGTGTTTAAAAAACAGACTACAGCTACTTGCAGGCCGTCGGTTATGATGTGGTTAAGTCACGTGTCGTGGACGATGAGTACGTTTATTAGGTCGTATACTATCCTCTTGTATTGGATAGTTTGAGAGTAGGTCCACGACAGTGTAGTTCACCTTGACATGAAGTCAGTACTTTGAAAAGGACGACAAACACTTGTCTTGTAAACATGCCGTCAGAAGTGACGTTTATGCATTTTCTGAAGAAACGGTGACTTTGTCTTACCGTCTACCAGGCACCTACTGTTGAGAGATTCAATTCAATTATGTATTTGCATGAAAGACCATAGGCCCATATACAAAAGAGATACATATTAACAATGGCATATATAATCAACTTTCTAACAGATAAATCTAGAAGATTTATTTACAGGTGATGAAATACCAAAACTGTCTGAAAATGTAGCATCTTCCCTGGAAGGGAAACTAACTTACCATGAAACACTATCTGCTTTAAAGAAAATGAAAAAAGCCCAGGCCCTGATGGATTTTTAAGTGAATTTCTTAAATTTTTCTGGAATGATCTAAATATAAACCTCATAAATTCGTTGAATTATGCTTATGAAAATGCTTCGCTGTCTGTATCACAAAAACAAGGACTTGTCACATGCTTGCCAAAGGGTAACAAAAGCAAAAATTTCCTAAAGAATTGGAGACCTATATCATTACTAAATACCTCGTACAAATTAGCATCGGCCGTAATTGCAAATAGGATAAAAACAATACTTCCGAATATTATCCATGAAGACCAGAAAGGTTTCGTTCCTGGAAGGTATATAGGGGAAGTCACAAGACAAATATTTGACGTTATGGATTATACAGAATCATACCAAATTCCAGGATTACTACTACTTATCGATTTCGAAAAGGCTTTTGACTCGGTTGACAAAAATTTCATGCAGAATGTTCTAAAGTTTTTTAACTTTGGGCCAAGCATACAGAAATGGATAAATATTTTCTCAAATGATATTGAATCTAGCGTATTAGCAAACGGATTTGCAAGCGATTTTTTCAAGATAACCAGGGGATGTCGCCAGGGAGACCCAATATCACCGTATATCTTTATTCTATGCGCCGAAGTGCTAGCTTTACTAATCAGGAAAAAAAAAAAATTAAGGGAATAAAAATAGGAAATATTCAAAGCTTACATGCCCAGTTTGCTGATGACAAGTAACCTTGGATGGATCAGAATCAAGTCTCTACGCAGTTTTAAACACATTGGCTTTCTTTGCAAGATTTTCAGGGCTAAAAGTAAATACAGACAAAACTAGGCTGAAATGGATAGGATCCAAAAAAAGATCTAGGTATAAGATGTGCAAAGAATGGAATCTAGACTGGACGCAGTCAAACTTTAGAGCTGTTAGGAATAGACTTTGATGTCGAGCTAGACGCTATGATAGACCACAACTATAAAGACAAACTTGAAATAATCTACAAAGAAATGAACCTCTGGACGTTGAGATATATGACACCAATGGGTAGAAACACTATTTTAAATTCTTTGCTATCACCAAAACTAAATCATCTCTTTTCTTCAATTCCAAGCCCACCGGACGATATAATACAAAACTTTCAGAAAAAATGCTTCATGTTTGTGGGGCAAGGAAAAAGGATAAGGTAAAACGAAACCATGTTTCAAAAACCAAGAATGGAGGCGTACCATTAGCGTGCCAGATATAAAAATACTATATATGCGCAATGAAACTACTGAGTTTATTTTACGCCGCTTTTATGGATAAAGAGGCTCATTACCGAAAATTCAAAGTGTATCTCTATTGCCAATGTATGTATACTTGATAGGATTAAGCTATGTTATGCTGATACAGATTATGTATGCCACTATATTATGCCAAATGTTACAAATCCTTTTTGGAAAGATGCATTATTGGCATGGTGTTACTACCTAAGAAACTGTTATTCAGAGGTAAAAGAAATTTCAGAAATTCTCCGTCAGTCTCTATGGTTCAACGATAATATACAGATAGAGGGAACATTTGTTTATTATGAATATATGGATAAAAAAGGAATACATCTTCTTAAAGATATTCTTGACTATAATGGGATTTTCCTACAAAAAGCTGAGATAGAAAAAAAATATGGAATACCCAAGATAAACTTTTTGCATTTAGAGGGTATAAAATGTGCTGTATTGGCATACTGCAGGTCTAAACATATAACTGATATAGGAAAAACTAGTTCAGAATTCCAAAACCCAGTATTACCGTTTAATATCTCTTGTATAATGGGAAAAAAACAAAGGAGTAAAGCTTTTTATAATACTCTCTTGCCACAAAGTCACGTCAATCCCAGTGGTCAAAATAAATGGGAGGATATTCTGAAGCAACATTATAACAAAGAAGAGTGGACTAATATTTATTTAATGGCAAACAGATGCACAGAGAGCGTACAGTTAAGATGGTTTCCCTTTAAGATCACTCATAATATTTTAATGACAAAGTACAGGCTACATTTAATGAAATATACTGATTCGCCCATGTGCTCTTTCTGTGAATCCACTCCAGAAACGATAATACATCTATTATGTGAATGTCCGTATACTGTAAAAATATGGAAGGAGGTATCCGGATGGCTTGACATATTATCCGAAGGAAGTATAAACCTCTCTCCTGAAGATATATTATTTGGCTGGAAGGGCAAAAATAATAATCCACTAAACGTGATCTTTCTTATTATGAAATATATGAAATATACACTATATAAGATGAGTTTGAAAAATATGAAGCCAAACTTTCAATATTTGCAGCGGGAAATATTAAACTATTATAAATCCACTAAATACATTGCCTTTTCAAACGCGAGGCAAACACAATTTTTTGCATTCTGGTCCTCCTTCCATACACTATTTTCGAATATCATTACTCATGATGTATCTTTATAAACAATCGCAGTATATACATGCGGGTATAAGCATGTAATGTGTATGTATATATACATATGTATATGTGTAAGCATGAGTATGTGCATGTGTATGGATGTGTCCGCAGATGAATATATGTATGTGTGTAGAAGTATATAAGAATGCATATGTACATGCACCTAAGGTATATATAGATGAAGTATATGTATGTATACGGAACAGTGTCCCTATTATGTATCAGCTAAGCAATGAATATGTTTCATGATCACTGCAACCACGCAGATCTATTATTTCACATACTACTGTGTTTACAAAACTGAAAATATTGGAAATCAATACTGTAACATGTGATATGTATACTGCTTGAAAGTGGTGTGTAACGCAAAAACTGTATTCTATAGCATGTTAAAACTGCATTTGATTCTGAAATGTGATGTACAACATACTGATGGGAAATAAAAACACTTAAAAAAAACAAACAAAAAAACCTTTCTAACTGATCAATTCTCTTCTCAAGAAAAATGCATTGTGAAAAAATAGGGCTACTTTGTGTTGATTTGGAGGTTCTTTGCAGGAAAGTAAGGAAGGCAATAGTTTAACATTGATTTCAGATAAAGACAATTGTGTTAGATAATTACTTCTTAGATTTTCATATACAGGACAAATAAACATAAAATGGAATTCATCTTCAATAAAATTACAGAATGGACAATATCTTTGGGTCTTTTCAGTAGAAAGATATCTTCCACGGTTAATTGCTAAATCATTGAGGCCTAATCTAAAACGTATAAAACATTGCGAACATTTCTGTAGTTTAGGTGAGCAAATAAGACACTGGCTCAAGCAACGACTTAAATTGACGATATGAACATATCTGGAACTTTCAATAATAGTTGAATACCGTTCCTGCTTAAACATGTCAATAGCCCGAATACGAAACTGTAATACACATATTTACACTGCCAACTCTGTGGTAAACAAATACAACCAAAACCATATCTCAATAGTAAGGTGTGAATATGAGATGTCCAATGATTCGTATCAAGATAATCAAGATGTACAAGCAAATTGAAGGGGTTTTTTTGTAAACGATGTTCATGCATATTAATTATTTTACACCGATTTTAAACAACGACAATAAAATGATATGTACAATGGAAACCTACCACATTCACCATAAACCATAGCCTTTGGGGTTGACAAACCAACATTTAGAAACTTTCTACAGGCAAGGAAGTGATTTTTTTCTATGGTATAACACTCTTTAAAACCCCCTCCTTCGGATTCATATAGTAAAATCGGTTAAAATAATTTGGAATATATAGTCGGTGGTGTTACACCAAGCATTGGAACAACAGAGTGAAAGAGCATTTGTTTTCTCTCCTCGCCAGGTTAATTACAGATTTGGAACAGGGTGAGGTGGATTTGTAGTAACCGTGAAACGTTCAAATAGACTTCGGTTTCATAAGGATTGAATATTGGCCAATCGAAAGTCTTTCTCCGAAAAACTGGAATATAATTATATACTTCAATCGTTTGAATGCATCTTTTTTAATTATTACTGCCACATAGCTGGAATATTGCTGAGTACGGCGTAAAATTAAACTCACTTTTAAATTATTAGTGAGACCTATGTCTATTAAGTGTGATCGAGTTAAATTCAGCTACAGTATAAGGAAGATTGTGAATACAAATATACACTCGAAAAGCAGTACTGGTGTATTGATTGGAGACCCAGAAACTGGAGGCGTATCTTGGATAAAGGCATTGACACGGGCCAGACTTCCGTTGTTCGGCGCTGGTTTAATGTTGAGCAGTTTACAAACAAGAGGGTAGATGTCCACATTCTGGATCGGATCTGACGTGAGGTTGGCCTTGAAGTTGGGTCCCCTAGCCAGGAATATTGGCTTCATTGACATCAATGCGTTGTCGTAACCGTGGGTGGCTTTTAGAGTACTTTTGGCCTTTTTGGTCTTGTTCTGAAAATGTATGAGAAGAAATTGTGATGACTGAGTGAGGAGGGTTAAGCGCCGCTTCGGACAGTGTATCAGTTATGTCGGAACTTCACGGCAGGATGTGGGAGGAGACCCGACAAGATTCGGTTCTCACACATTCGTCGTTTGTTGGAGCTTACGAACACGGATATGGTAAACTATAGGTTTCTGGGGTGTCCAAGGGATAGTGATGATGTAGAATATTTATATCGCGCCTTTCCAGACTTCATATCCTGCTCAAAGCGCACAAATATACATGTAATCTGATTATTATTATTATTATTATTATTATCTAGGATAACCCAAGCTGCCTCACAGTTGATAATCACATGACGTTTCCCACCGGGTACCCATTTTCTGCTGGATGAACAGAGACAATTTTGAACAACCCCACATGCCTAAGGTGAGACCACATGTATCACATGAGCTTCGTTGTGGGGTAGGACTGACGTCCTAGAAACTCGCAGGAAACAAGCTGCCAAACACGATCACCCATCTAAAACTCTCCACACCCAACGTTGCTTAATATCAACTGAGTTGTGCATGAGCTCTCTGCATAGAACAACAGACCATACATCCCTTCACAGCTATACTCAGCGCCTTAGTCGACTGGACCATTTATATCGATGCCTCCAGCCACAGCTATGCTTGATGTCCGAGAAACGTACTGACTAATGGTTATGTTTCCAAACTTAGTAGGGTAGATTTCCCTAGAACGTTTTGCTTGTATATCAGTTTGAATACTCAAGTGTTATGTAGAAAATACAGAGACCGGAAAGCGGACGCTTCTAAATTTATGACTAGAGACTTACGCTGGTTAGCTCCCCTTTATTAGTGACGTGCATGACATATCTAAAAATCTATCATGGCAAAATGCAATAGTATTCAAGTTAGTGCAATCGTTCAGTAGTGAGACAAAACGATTTGTATAGCATATTGATATTATTCTGTATAAGCTCTATCTCTTTTCTCTTATTGTACCTTCTTGTCCATTATCTGTCATCTTCATTTGCGGGGCGGTGGGGTAGCCTAATGGTTAAAGCGTTGGCTCGTCACGCCAAAGACCCGGGTTCCAACCCCCACATGGGCACAATATGTGAAGCCCATTTCTGGTGTCCCCCGCCGTGATGTTGCTGGAATATTGCTAAAAGCGGCGTAAAACCAAACTCAGTCAGTCAGTCAGTCTTTATTTGCGGAAATCTAAATTACCTACGTATATACCAAGGAGAGGGTATACTAAGTTGGAGCCCTTGTTCCTAATCCTTTTCTCAGTGAATAAAATATGTTTAAAACAAACAAAAATCTGCTTCTATGAACAGTAACCATACAGTGATTATCTCCCCTTCCATGATAACGTTGCGTTTGACCCATCTACATCCATGACCTGTAACTTACAGTGGTTAACTGCCATCCCTCATCCGCTATGATGATAATGGGCATGATCCTTCTGTTGTCCTGGTAATGGAGACGTTCTGGAACATCCTCCTTCTTGTACACTGTGATGTGTTCCACTCCGGTCAGATTCTGTATAATGGCGTCGTCCTGGCCCTCTACCGGCAGAATATGCATCAAGGGGCCGTAAATCGGGATACGATCGACCTTCGTCATGTCAACGTAATCGGTAATATCCACAACCTTAAAGATAATACATTTTCTTTCATCAAATATCATGTTTGAAAATATTTCCGCGAATGATACCCATGTGGGGAAAACCCACAGTGCCACTGAAGCAAAATCAGACTTGCTCTGGTTTAAACTTCAATTCTGGAATTGTAATATCGCTTTGATATGTTCAGAGAAAAATATTTTATCAATAATACCGTTATATTACGTGTGATAATTATCATGGGTATTCGAACAATAAAAAATATCTTCCTAAGGACTTCATCTAGCATGATCTCTTAGCATCTACTTGGTTTCGAGCAGAATATATGAGAGGGAATTCGCCCACCTCTGCTGGGTGGCGATATACTAAAATCGTCATCAGTTACGTCATCAACACGCATACCGTTTGAAACGTAGGATCTGTCTACGGTAACATGCGACCTACCTTATTGATGTTATCCACTTCAACCATTCCATGGTCACTGGTAACGATGACGTTGACTTCATTTTCCAGATCATTCTCCTTCATCTTCTGCACGAGGTAACCAAGGATACCATCCATGTACATGACCTTGTCCCTGACCTCTTGCGATTCTGGCCCAAAGCTGTGTCCAGTTTTATCGGGTTCTGGGTAATACAGAGTGGCAAGTTGGACATTTTGGTTCTTGAACCAGTCAACGACGGTGTCAATTCGCTCCTTATAAGGCGTGTCGTTCGTATAGGGGTACCAGTAGTCAGGCCGCACACCTTGAATCTCAGCCTCGCTCCCAGGCCAAAAGTATGTCCCCGCCTTCAAACCCTTCAAAATAAATAGAACAAACGCCAAGCGAATAAGCGTTAACATTGTGAAGGGGACGGTGGGGCTAGCCTATAGCTAGTGGTTAAAGCGTTCGCTTGTCAACGCCGAAGGAACATTGCAAAAGGCGGCGCAAAGCCATACTCGCTTATATCATGAACAATATTTGAGCTGTGCCAAGGCACAGAGTACACGCCGTCACAGGTGTCACTTGCTTGAAGCTCATGGGTAGATGACCGTGACAGATGAAGGTTCGTAATCGGTAACAATTTTGGATTCGAACTTGGACTCGAAGACGTTGTGCTCCATACTAGTTAAATTAACACTTATACTGTTTGCTCTTAGTTGTAGTTACTATAATAAGACGCGAACATGGTGGATATTCTTTTGGTTCAACCGTATTTTTATTGACGGTTTTACAATTCAATTTCATGACGGTATACTCTTATCACTCGGCCTTAACCTACCCTGACTGTCCGTACTTGATAATGGTCACCAAACGCCAAAATTAAACTATAAATATACTACTTAAAAGGAGGGAACGGTGGGGTAACCTAGTGGTTAAGACGTTCGCTCGTCACGCCGAAGACCCGGGTTCGATTCCCCACATGGGTACAATGTGCCCATTTCTGGTGTCCCCCGCCGTGATATTGCTGGAATATTGCTAATAAAGCAGCGTAAAACTAAAATCACTCACTCACTTAAAAGAAGTTACGGAATCCCCGATTCTTTACCATAATTGATCAACTATAGTAGCAGGAAAAAATTTCGATTAACTTTTCTGTGACCTTACAGATATTCTTTTACAGCTTTGGCTACCATTGATTAACAGAAAACAAAGAAGAAATGGTGGCTTATTTTAGAAAAGTAATATAGGCCATAGGCCCAGGTTACCCATTGAGAATTACAGTAGTAGAAGATAGGATTCTAAATACTGAGTATACCTGCTTCTTGGCCGTGACCCACAGTGGTTCTCCTCCGTTCCACCACCGTGTCTCCGTGGTGCTAAAACTGAAGCTGGCATTGAACACGGGGTCGTACATGTGGTTGCCAATAATTCCATGACTCTCTCCCCACAGACCTGCCGACCAAACCAAGGTAATCCTTTCAAATACACTGTATAGATTAATACCCGGATCAGTGAGACTGAAACCACCACTCTGCTGTGTGACGACAAACATAATCCATCAATGGCAGTGATACACCTTAGATTTAATCGTAGCATGTACAGGCAAAATGTCTTCTGTTCTTAACGGTTCAGCTGCTTCCAAAATGCTATGAATGAATGAATGAATGAATGAATGAATGGATATTTATTGCTTTACGACACACCAACAATATTCTAGCCTTTTCGCGATATCCAGTTAAGTAAGATCTTTTTACTGGACAGACAAGTATGCACTATATAAGGTATTGACGGTCGTCCATGAGTTGTTGTCAGTTATAGTCACGGTAATGATGAGTTGTGATCCAAGCTCTGCTGTGATTCATAAATGATGAATGAGTACTTTTCATGTCAATGTTTATAACTGAATATAACCTATACTGGACAAAATAAGTTAGGGATATTGGTATTTTTATGATTTATATTTTATCAGCGTGTCATTGAATAAATACATCATTATTAATAATTTCACAATTTAAATATATCCCTAACTATTGTTCAGTATATGATTGAGTTAGCAGCAAGATTATGCCACTTGTGTATGACCTGCCAGACAAGAAACAGTCAACATACCGCTGTGTATTGGAGGTAAATCGTAGTGACCAAGGTAAATCCTTTGTAGTTTAAGTAATTACTTTGGTTAATCAATAAAGTTATCAATGCCATTGGTACTACCAATGTTTCTTACTTTTGAGTTCTTTCCGAAATCGATTTCGACTTTTTAGTTTTTAACCTAACCACCACTTTTATCCCCTATTACAACATACGGTGCACTTCAAAGAAATTTTTACTGAAATCACAAAGGTCGTCTTCCTGGGAAGACACCGTTACTTTCATGGTGATTCGAGTGTGAGAAGCATCATGGTTGACTGCACAAGTTTCCGCCTCCGTGGTGTAGTGGTTAGAGCGTGCGCCCGGAGACCGGAAGGTCGCGGGTTCGATCCCCGGCCACGTCGCACTAAAAGAGGTTAAATATGGTACTTCGTGGTCCCTGCCTGGCCCTCGGCATTAATGGGTACAACCAGGACTAATTGGCTCGGAGTATCAGTGGGGTATCCATGATTTACTGCCACATGGTATCTCAGTGAGCTAGCACTATAAAACCAGCTTCAGTCGGAGCTAGTACAAGCAGCCACACATACACACGTCGTGATAGGAGCGAAATATTCTCAAGTACTACGTTAAACCCCATTTCACCTCACCTCACCTTCGAAACAGTTCCATGGGGCATAACACACATATTCTCACGAAAATATGCACCAACTGATAACTGGAAATGATAACAAATTAAAGTTTTTTAAATGATAAGTCGTTATATTAATCATTTATTATCATTTATTTAATTGTTCACAAAATTTAAACTATCAAAAGTCAGATGTCAAGGAGAACACGAAGATCGCCAATCATGATTGGGTAAACTATAATTTGCATAAATTGATCATCAAACTTACTATTCAGGTTTTCTTAAACAAAGTGTTACTGGAAATATATTTCACATAAGTTTAATCTGTATTATATTGTGATAAACAACAAAACCTGGTCATTACACAACTTGAATACAAATCTTGTAATCTACGTTACCGTTACCGTAACACTACCATATCTATATAGGAATATAGAAACGTTACTGGTGAAATGTTGCTATTTTATATTTCACGGAGTTACTTTGAAAGATACAAAAGAGATGTGTCTTCGTTTCATTCATTATTTAAAGTACAGACAGTACATAAGCACAGTGAAACTTCATCCAAACTGTAATCAGTTCAGTTTGATGTTGAATATCAACAATGATAAGCCAATCAAAAGTAAATACTCATTTAACGTTTAGAAGAGGTCATGTCAAAACTTTAGACCCATAAAATTGTTTTACCTGAGTAGCCCTTATTGTGTGTGATCAGTTCTACTCAGGTGAGACAGTCACTGGACAATGGTGCACATTTCAGTCACGCCACTGAACAAAATGCCCGTCATGCCATGTGTTTTTGGCGCTTGGATGACTGCGTCAGTACTACTTCTGGAACCAGTGGACGGTCAGTGCCAAAGGTACGTAACTCTTGTGTGCATACCGACAAAAAGATGATGCTCCTATGGAAATGAGGTAACGTAGATTACATAACGTAGATTACACAGACGTCCTCGAGCACCCACCAAACGTTTAAAGCGTAAAGGAAGAGTATCCTCCGTTCATTTTGAAACTCTTTTGGTCATGTAGATAACGTCCTTAAAAAAACTCTACAACTTTAAACCTGTGGAGCATCATGGTGAGGAATGGACTGAAATTTAGTGGCTATGGGATTGTTATTGTATTGTCCCAACATAAAACTGCAAATATGGAATAACATCTAGTGAATACATACACTTTTAACAGTAATATATTGTCATTTTCGTGGGGTAACATAGATAACAGTAAATAAGTTGTTTTTAATGCGGAGACACGTAAAATTACAAATGGAGCACATTTCGTGAGAATAGGTGAACAGTGAATAAATAGTTGAGAAATGGACGGATAACTAACATTATAAGGATAACACCGACGTTAAACGTTATGCCCCATTTCACCTCACCTCACCTCACCTCTGAACGGGATCGGACAGTCATGCTGCATGGCTACAAGGTTATGTCACGTGATATCCATGTGATGGCGATGGCGGGCAGTTTGATTGACAAGTCCGTGCAAAGTTTACTGCATTACAGAGTCCTGTATCACGTGACAATTTTGAGGAGGGGGAATGATTCGTCACGCATTCAGTGCGAGTATGCTTTCTGTGATTCGGAACGTGACCCTGGAAAAGCAGTTAGACAGGATAGGTGACCTGGGTACCAAACTCATTGTTATGTAGATGTGGATGAGGGCTGTTACACCTGTTAAGACCTGTTACACTACAATCTGTAGACGTTACAAGAAGTAGACTAAACAGTTGAATGAAACAAAATGCCGAATTCAACAATCTGTCTACGTGTAATAAACCGATTTTGTCAGGCTAATTTATGCAAAGCTCCTTCAATTTATTGTAGAATGTTTCAAGCTTACTACATTATTACGCAATGAACTTATACATGTATATAACTAGCCTACTGTATGCAATATAATCGTGAAGATATAGAGAGCAGATCTAAGGGTCTAAACTCATTTTAGCTGAATAGCCTTGTGTGGGGTCTGTTAGTGATTGAGTTGGGTTTTACGCCGGCGGGGAAAACCAGAAATGGGCTTCACACATTGTACCCATGTGGGGAATCGAACCCGGGTCCTCGGCGAGACGAGCGAACGCTTTAACCACTAGGCTACCCCACCGCCCACGTATGGGGTTAATGAGCTGAGTCGGCGTCTGAATCGGGCTGATGACACAAGTAGTCAACACTGTCAGAATTCCCAATGATTGTATTTCGATAATAAACCTTCAAGCTGACGGAGACTGACGGACAGTGTGCACCTGAACATACAACATACAACTAGGTCACACCGACTGCCTTTACCTGCTGTGGGCGATATTCATACTCATTTGTTTGTCCTCCAGCTCATCCCGGTAACACTCACATGGTGACATCCCGGACCCCCTGCGAGACTTTCCCAGTACAGGAAGGTGGGTGCGAGAGTATGCATATTCTAAACAGCAGTGTTTCACGCATATCCTGACTAACACAATTAATACATTGACAAAACATCTTTAGCTTTAAAACAAATGACATAAAAGCACTATAGTATCGCAGATATAGTTTTAAAACTAATATGTATATATTCATATATATGTATTGTGAGGATATAATAATGACCCCAATAGAGGAATAGCCAAAATGTTTCTCAACTACAAGTGGTGTATTGGGGTGAAAATAATCACACTATTTCTTAGAGAAAGTGAACATTATGTACGACCTGGTCATATATTGTAGTGCTAGAGTCGGCGGTACGTTACATATACTGTGGAGCGGGCGATCATCAAAATGTGATAGTCCTAAGATTAGTCAGTATCAGCATCCTTACCTGTAATGATGGTGTAGTGATTAGGAAAGGTGAGAGTTGTGAAGCTGGCGTTCATGTATGTGGCCCGTACTCCCCCGTCTCCGAACGTGTGGAAATGGGGAGTCGAGGACGCATTGTTTAAATAATCCCATCGGAATCCATCCATGGACACGAGAAGCACTTTGTTCTTGAAGTCATCAGCTGCTATCAGCACAGTCAGGAGAACAAGGATAGCTGCGATCTGGACAGACAACATGGCGGCAGATGAAGTTCTGTGAACCACTACCTTTATAATGCCCTGTGTGGCCCCCTGACTCGGCATGCGTATATATATTTGCATTTCAGATGAATGACCTGTTGGATATATTCGTATTCATGATCTGGGCCGCTAAAGCGACACTGGTGGAAACATAATTACATAGACAACCCAGATGTGCGAACGTGCACAAAGTAATAATGTCTTTGTTATATAATGCGGTCTGTTGTTTACTTCCTGAGTGAGTGAGTTTAGTTTTACGCCGCACTCAGCAATATTCCAGCTATATGGAGGCGGTCTGTAAATAATCGAGTCTGGACCAGAAAATCCAGTGATCAACAGCATGAATCGACCTACCCAAATGGGAACCGATGACACATGTCAACCAAGTCAGCGAGCCTGACCAACCAGTCCCGTTAGTCGCCACTTACGACAAGCATGTTTACTTTCTGAAGTAGCAGGGCACATAATGTTTCTAGAAATACAAATGTCTGACTATTTCATCCGATTTAACTCATATTGCCTGGGGAACGAAAGGGCCGTCCGTGCGAGGCGCACCACGCCATTAAACAATGATTGTTGATTCGAATCCTGGTTCGTCCCGACTATGACTCGAGTGAGTGAGTTGAGATTATAGTTACATTGACAATATTTCAGCCATATTGTGACTAAAACAAGTCATACATACATAATCGATAAATTTGTCGACAAAGGACAATCAAGCCACTTGAATGTCACAGTTTGAGATTTGAAACTGACAGTGAGTGTGAGTTAAAATGATGTCACTATTTAGGACAGTACAATATATATTAGGCACATAAAGAAACTGTGCATACAAAAATTTAAAATCTAAATTTATCAAACCTGTGTAGACACATAAGGATTTAAACTCAGAGATTAGTGACATGTATCCAACATGCATGCACGTGCCACGTTCCGTGACGTCAGTGGGTTCGTCCTTGAGACGTGCAATACGTTGTTGCACGTGCATTCCGGGAAAGAGAAACAGAGCAAATGAATGCCACACAATACTGTCACTTTTGAAAGCTCAACCCCTGCCCTTGCGATCGTTCAAAAAATTAAACGACTATTGAAACGCATAGCATGCCAAGGCTCACGTCTGCACAACGTCATGAGGCCATTGGGATGGTCCGTGGGGGAATGTCTCAACGACAAGTGGCTGCACATTTCCACTGCCACCGGAACACCATTTCTGACCCATCTGCGTCACAGGTTTCAGACTGCAGTGATGACTGCCCGAACCATCCCAGGACTTCGCCGTATCCACCCCAACACAGTTCGACAACGTTTACGTCATCACGGGATCAGACCACGACGTCCCGCCATACGGCCTATCCTGACACAACGTCATCGACAAACTCGCCGAATGTGGTGCCGAAATCATGTCCGCAGACCCTTGTTTTGGTGGAGAAATGTTGTTTTTACAGATGAGTCCAGGTTTAACATTTCCTATAGTGATGGACGTCAACGTGCCTATAGACGCGTGGGAGAACGTTATGCACAGGCCTGTGTCTTGGAGAGGAATCGCTTTGGTGGTGGTGGTTCCGTGATGATTTGGGGTTGAATAACAGCACGCCAAAGAACTCCTTTGGTGATTGTTCAGGGCAACTTAACTGGTGTGGGCTACAGGGATTAGATTCTTCGACCTGTGGCAATTCCTTTTCTGCAACGTCATGGCCCTGGGTTAACATTCCAACAGGACAATGCCCGCCCTCATAGGGCAAGGGTTGCTATGGATTTCTTGCAACACTACAACGTTGACTTACTGCCTTGGCCTGCAAATTCACCGGATCTCTCCCCGATAGAGCATGTTTGGGACGAGATGGGTCGACGTCTACGCCGTCTTCCTCATCCGCCAGATAACGTCCTTGACCTTGCAACAGAACTTGAGAGAATCTGGCGTGACATCCCACATTCCTTCCTTGCACGTTTGATGGGTTCTATGCGTCGTCGATGCCCTGCTGTTCTCAATGCCGATGGTGGACATACCCGTTATTGAGCTTGTGACATGGTCGTTTGACCCGTGTCCTGCTTCATTGTGATTGACTTCTCAATTGAAATTCTCCCAACTTGTTATGGTCTCATGATCCCTCCATTAATGTTTATATGTACCTTTGACATTGTTATCGTACTTATGAACTGGGATAATATTTTGACAATGCACAGTTTCTTTATGTGGCTACATGGGTACATTGGGAAAACAGGATATAGATCGTCAACAACTGAAGGTAGATTACCAAACTAGGGACCATGGGGACGTGCAGTACGAACATTAGTCATTAAATCACGAACATTTACGTGATAAACAATTTCCCCCCTTCTTCATGCCAGCATCTGAAATTATAGTGACGATGTGGTACTGACAAATGTCCAACTTTCATGCAATTTGAGACGATTTGTTGCTTTCGAGTGTATATCTATCTGACTTTTCATCGGTACGGTTCTGCAGCGAAGGGACTCTCGTTCGAGGAACTGCTGGTTAATTCATTAATGCCTTAAAATAAAAATTACATTATTGAGTTAAGTTTTACGCCGCTTTTAGCAATATTCCAGGAATATCACGGCGGAGACACCGGAAATAGACTTCACACATTGTACCCATGTGGGGAATCGAACCCGAGACTTAGGCGTGACGAGCGAACGCTTTTACCACTAGGCTACCCCACCACCCCATATATATATCAGAAGTATACGTGTACCTATGAGCCATGTAAACAACATGTGACGTCACCACTTGAACACTGCAGGACGTTTTAGGAATGTCCCGGTTAAGGACGTGGACACGATCCAGACGTGTTCGGCGCTAGGTGAACGTTGAACAATTTACACACAAAAGGTATGAAGACGTCCAAGACCAATAATGGTCAAACAGCCAAATCCATTTCAATCATTTACCTACCTGAACTAGAAATAAAGAACATTGTGAAACCGCTTCATCCTTGCATATTTGGAGTGAGTGAGTGTGTTGTGTCGCTTTTAGCAATACATGTATTCCAGCAGTATCACCTCGAGGGACATCAGCAATGGGCTTCACATTGTATCGAACCCGGGTCTTCGGCGTGAACGCGAACGCTTTAACCACTAGGCTACCCCACGACAGGGATTACTTGAACTTTCGATTGCCAAGTTTCTCTTTATGTCGAGAAACTTTACATTTCTCATTCTCATTCTCTTCCTTCTATGGTATCGATGGATACCAGGTAGAATGAGATGGTAATATGACTTAACCCTCCAGTATTACATAGTCAGCTTGGGTCGGTTACTCCTATTGGGCTTGAGAATGAACGGGGTAATAAAGGGCTTTGAATGTCGCGTTGTCGCACTTTGTTAAAATATTGAGTTATTTTCGATGTTTTGGCAGGGCAGAGATACCCAGGGATTGACCTCAGAACAATAATAAACGCGCATACACATGGGCCGTGAAGGAGGAGCAAAGTCTGTGGGTTAAGTAAGAGTCGTTGGTAATTGGTCATATCACGGCTATGTTCCGATGCCTATTTCGTTATACTTAATTACTGGCATTTTTGTTGAACATTAATATGAATGAATAGGTCTATGTTTGAAACGAAACGGGATTAAAATATCAATCGATATAGGTACATGTGTATCGCGTATCGTATTGGATTGGGCACAAGTTATGTAACTTATTACCGCCCGCTCCCATCCGAAACATGAACAATAATGAATGGACGTAATGAATGGGCATGATAATATTAAGACATGTTATTCATTAATCGAAGCGCTTACTTCGTACAATGTATTTATGCACATGTCTAAAGCTATTTTCGTTAATAGTATTTGGCAGAGCAGGGTTGCCGTAAAGAATGGTATCAATGTCTAAGTGAACTTTTGATAGTTCAAATCTTGCTGCTTCAGATCAAAACGGCAGCTGACAGATTTTGGGCATTTTAAAAAGAAATTGTTAGCATCTTCCACCGGAGCACCACAACTGCAAGCTCTTCTCTATAATAGATTAACACGAAACAGATCTGCACGTAATGAATTACTTAACTTCGTATGTAGTATATTTGTCTGTCTTTAACCAAATAGAAAATATTTTGGAACTTTGTAATTTTCCCCCAGATAACTTTGATTTAAACGATGATAATGAATTTGTACATTTTCTTAAAGAGGAGAGAGCATTCCATAAACTTGCAGAATCATAAATAAATGACTTTTGGAGAACTGAGGTGCGAAATTTAGGAATCGCAAGTTGTATCCGGAAATGGTTTCAGTAAAAGGTGGAAGTAAATCTATCAGGTAATCAGGAGCTTGTATATTAACAATTTTTGTAGAATGTACAGAGTTTTCTTTGTGTTTGTCTAACTTTCAATGGTAACCAACCAGTTTCACTTTATAAACTATATCTTGAAGCGCATTTAGGCAATCCGGTAACATTCTTGCTGCTTCAAGTTGTAACATTTCAAGTTTATGTCGCCGGATGTATTTCCCTATACATTTGCGTATCTCTTACGTTATTCCTCTCTGCTCATTTACGAGCGCTTCTTCTTTCACTCTTATTCTGGTTGTAATACCAGTAGTATCTCGTGCATTACCTGTTCCGTGACGTAGGCATCTTCATATTTGCCACTTCATGTCACGCCACGGCCGAGGTGAGTTGATACACCCTTCGGCCATACATCATATTATATTGATGTCCATGTGTATTTTACAGGTATGTACCTTTTCTGTCTACTTTCTTTGTCATCCTCTAAACGTATTATCGTAAAGGTGCGCGATATATAGTATTTATATAATATCTATTATATTGCTATTATAAAGCATCGCGTTGCACGAAATTACTAATTAAACACTGACACCAGCACGTAAGTAAGTGTGAGTGATGTCTGCTTCTTTCAATTGTCGCATAAAATTCAAAGTGCAATATTACATAAAATGCTGTAAAGACCATCTTATAAATGGTAACATTCGTGCAATATTCATATTTGGGACTTCATGTCACTCCACGGCCGAGGTGAGTTGATACACCCTTCGGCCATACATCATATTATATTGATGTCCATGTGTATTTTACAGGTATGTACCTTTTCTGTCTACTTTCTTTGTCATCCTCTAAACGTATTATCGTAAAGGTGCGCGATATATAGTATTTATATAATATCTATTATATTGCTATTATAAAGCATCGCGTTGCACGAAATTACTAATTAAACACTGACACCAGCACGTAAGTAAGTGTGAGTGATGTCTGCTTCTTTCAATTGTCGCATAAAATTCAAAGTGCAATATTACATAAAATGCTGTAAAGACCATCTTATAAATGGTAACATTCGTGCAATATTCATATTTGGGACTTCATGTCACGCCACGGCCGAGGTGAGTTGATACACCCTTCGGCCATACATCATATTATATTGATGTCCATGTGTATTTTACAGAATAAACAGATTTTAATCAACTACGCCTCAGTCCGATTTATCAGCGGCCAGGACCCGCGACAAAATGGCGCCCGAACAGGGACTGAGGGTTGAGACACAACGACAACAGTGCTGACGTCACACCATCCCATGTCATCGATGTCTTCTCCGCCATCGGGTCGATCGACGCTCCGTCAGCCAGGTCATCATCATCCATACCGTCACCGTCACGTCAACGTCACAGTCATGCACCAACATTGCTACCGCTACAGTTTCAGCGATAGGTATGCCACGATTTGACATTTTGATGATTTTATATCATATCCACTTGACATGTCTCATGTGCTAGGACTGTGCAGTGACTTTTACCAAGTGATTTCGTATGGACATTGTGCCTTATATTACGGTACATGACATTTCACATATTCATGATTCATCAATCGTGCATGATTTCCACGGATTGAACGTTGAGATACCCATGTGAGACATTTGAGACATTTTGAAACTATGATATGTTCAACATTTCCTGATATTGATATTTATGCTCTCTCTATATATATATATGAACTATGTTTTGATATATTTCATGTGATATCAATATTCTCATGTGAAATATTTTGCTGTGTTTCACGTGCACATTACAACATGTTTGTATATTCTTATAAATCGTCATAGTAGACATATTGAGTGTTTACTATGAGCTGGTAAGAATATAGTGTATCTCTGCAGAGGACTAGTTAGCATCAGTTAGGTACAGGCCTATAGTTTGTACACACTTAGTTTAGTATTTAGAGACAATAAGACATTGTACAACTTATGTCTTTTAGTTAATTGTCTCTCAGGGCTTTGTCAGTTACTCATTTTACATCGTGTGTTTAACTTTTTGATAGTTTTATTCAACCTAGTTTTATACATTCATATCATGGAGTGATTGAGAGTGGGCGCGAATACATCTCACCTGCACTTATACTAAAACATCACAGTACATTATTTTCGCGTATTTCGTGTTATTGTTTACAATTTTGCGCGTTTCGGATCGCGACCGTGCCTTACACTCGCGTTTCGCATAGCACTTGTAACTTATTTTCGCGTGTTTACATTCCGGACTTATACTTCCGTATTATTCATGTAATTTGTAAACATCCGGTAAGGTGTATTTCCGGTTTACTTAGCTTCCGGTTTTTCAACTTCGCGTTAGTTCAATAAACTTGACAGGTTCTTTGTTGTTTTACTTTATTATTACTTTTGACATTTTCATTGCCTTCGTCAATAGTAAGAACTTCTCCTTACTATCCACTTTCACTGTTTGATATATGCTTTACACCTTTGTATTTTCAGTATACATCGGTCGACATCCGCTTCCTTTGTTTACATGTTTGTTTACTTGGTAGTGGCATTGCATATTTTCTAGTGTATATACTTTAGTGTTTGGTTGTTGGTATTCTTCCTTTTGGCCCAGTTGCGTAGATACTTGGGTCATTGTGGATTTATTCTGGTTTGGATTTTGATTGTATTTTTGTGGTCCAGACTCATTGGTTCGTGGCTTCTATTGCGGTTGGTTATATTCCTGCTTCGTCTGAATATCCCCATACATAGTTAGACATGTCCTAGTTAGGAAGAACTTATACGCTAGTGTTAGTGAATGAACAGTGTGAACTTGTGTAGTTATTCAGCTGGTATCATTATGGCTTCTGGGGTTGAGGATTTGGATGTGGATACTCAGGTCATCTAAGAAGAGGAAGAGAGGAAGATGATCAATTATTTATCAGCTACAGGACGATATCAGATTCGACCTATTCCTCCTTTATGTCCTTCTACTCAGGATCAGAAGTTCACTCCTAAGATGCAGGAATTCACACCAAGGCGTCAAGGATTTAGAGCAGACACGCACATGAGGTTTCAACAGACTCCACCTGAGATACCCATGTATAGTACCCCATATTTTAATCAAGGTTTTCTGAACCCACAGCTCCAACAGTTTCAGCTTCCAAGGATTTCACCCTTTTCTGGAGAGATTCCGGTTCCGAAGAATGAAGCCTCATTTGAATCATGGAAATGGGAACTGAAATGTCTTCTTCAGGACGCCGCCTATCCACCTGCGTTGATAGCCCAGGCTGTAAGGAAATCTGTGAAAGGTGACGCCGCAAGTATCCTTTTATCGTTAGGACACACTGCGTCGGTGGAAGCTATAATTCGGAAACTAGACGGACTCTATGGAACGTTGGACAACCCAGAGACTTTGATGTAAGAGTTCTACACAGCTCATCAACATGACTCTGAATCTGTCGCATCATGGGGAATACATTTGGAAACTCTACTTCAGAAGGCTACAGACAGAGGAAGTCGTATTGATGTCCACACCAGGGATAGTATCCTAAGGAACAGGTTCTGGACCGGACTTGTTAGAGACACTCTGAAGAATGCCACAAGACCTGCTTTCCACTCTGGACAAGGATTTGAAGACCTTATACAGACTGTCAGGGAGATAGAGCATGAGCTTCAGGATCGTTCCCTGCATGTACACAAGTCAAAGGTCAAGGTTATTCATCAACCTAAGGTGACTGATCCACAACAGACTTCAGACTCAGATTCTCCTTACAAGATAGCACAACAGTTATCAGAGGTTATCAAGAAACTGGACAAGTTGGAACTTAGGCGACAACAGCCACCACCACCACCACCTCCTGTGGAGAATAAAATCTTGAGACAGATCTTGGACCGACTTACAGTACTAGAGGCACAGAGGGCACTCCTGCTGCTGACAGTTTTCATCCAGTTAGAGGTCGAATTAGGTGGTAAGCGAGGTAGAGGGAAACCAGGAGGTTCTTTAAATTAGAGGCCACCTACTGCAGGGCAAGTAGAGGCCGAGAGAGAACACAGCCCTAATAACAGAAACTTATCTCAGAGACAGGATGATCGGTGATGCTAATGAGGAGCTATGGTTGCTATTGCTGGATTTGATTGTCTTGCCCTTCTGGATTCAGGTTCCATGATAACATCCGTAAGTGAAGCATACTACCAGTCAACACTATCTGATTTGGAACGCAAGTCATTAACAGAGATTGAACTTGACATCATGGGTGCTGGAGACAACTTGATTCCCTACACAGGTTATATTGAGGCTCCTATCTACATTCCTATTTATGATGTTGAATATTTGATACCAGTGTTGATCACCAAGGACACAGAGTACAACCAAAGAGTTCCACTTTGCATTGGAGTGAATGTCATCAAGCGTCTAAAGTCTGATTTGCAAGATACCTCGAAGGACGTGCCAGATGAGTGGACAACAACTCTGAATTCCATCTGTCACAAGGGAGTATTGGGTACAGTCAAGTCAACTAGGAATAAGCCTATAGCCATTCAACCTAATCAGATGATCACCATCACCGGTCTTGTACGTCATATACCTGGAAGTTACACTGCTGTCACAGAACATCTTGAAGCTGATTCGGATTTACAGACAGGTCTTTCCATATGCCCCCGAGTGGTAGAGGTTGGTAAACATGGTAACACATCAAGGATTCCAGTTAGATGCTGCAACCTATCCACCCGAGTTATTACCATTCCCCCGAAGGCTAAACTCTGTCAACTACAGCAGGTTAAGTGTTGTTACCCAAGTACCTATTGATGTACCTGTAGACAAACCTACTCAATCACCACAGGGAACTTCTTCAAGTGGCAGTTGTAAAATTTGATTTGTCGGATAGTCCACTTGATGATACACAGAAGCAGCAAGTTTCAGAGATGCTACAGCGCTGGGACTCTATTATGTCTTCAAGTATCACAGACTTAGGATGTTGTACCACTGTGAAGCACTCAATCAAGCTGACTAATGACATCCCTTTCAAACAGCCACATAGACGAATCCCTCCTGGATTATTTGAAGAAGTTCGGGAACATCTACATGAAATGCTTGCTTATTGGAGC